ACCCCAACGCACACCTTGAAAGATAAAAGTACTGTAAGCGCGCCGAATGCTTCCAATTACCGCCTCTATCAGGATGCAGCTCGTAGTTCCTAAAGTGGAAATGAAACGGCTCCTTGCGGACGATTTATGTACGTCGAAAACAACCTCGTGATTGTTAGCGAAACTGCAAACATGGGGGGAAAAAAACCTCTAGCCGCTCGGCCCCCCCCGGTTGATTAATTATTTCAATCTTTACTTTTAGCGCCTTGTCAATAACCCAAGTTCTCCCAAAAACGTACAACATATGTGATTAAACAGTGATTAATCTGATTTCATTTTGGTCTCCTGGCCTCGTACGGAAAATGCTGCAGCAGTTCTGCTGACGGGAGTTGTTAATCACGAGCGCGAGCTACCAAATGTGTTCAATTTCCCTCCCTTTATTTATTATCACAATGGTAATTCACTCCACTGCGAAACAAATGAGGGTGCAGCTGAGAGTTGCAAGCAGCTTGAGAACATCAGAATACTTTTGTTTATTGTGTCTGAATCCTCCGGATCAGTGTGAGAACCGTTTTTGGAGATACCTCGGCGTTGATGTCATGACTTTCGCGGGCCACTGTCGACGAGCCCGCAGAGCAGCTGTAAATTACATTTCTGGGCTAAGTAGGAATGCATTCAAAAGGCCAGAAAACTTTGTAACACATCATTAATTTTAAATGCACTGCCTGGAGTCACATCAGCTGCCTGCACTGGAGTTACAGGCGAGCATCATGACACTCCCTCTCTACTGGATGGGTTTGGTGACGGTGCCCTCTGTTCACCAGACCCGGCCTCTGTTTTGCAAATTTGTCGCAATTTTTGTGAGCGATGCCGGATTTAATCAGTGGTGTAAATCAGGCAGGATCCAGATTTATACAGTTCAAAATGTCAAAGAAGTCTCGTCCTGCACCCTCTACAATAACCAAGGACGTATACTGTATACATACTGCGGCACCAGAACAATTCTGACGTCTTAAAGGACGGCTAAATTATGATCTCTTGAGCACTTTGTTACAGAATACATCGCAATTTCACAGGAGTTGCTTTTTAGTTCGCATGGATTGTCACATCCAATTACTATATTCAACACGCATCCATGCTCCCAGGCTTGCTTCTGGCTATTGTGTTTGATCAGGTATACTTTTGACTCACTGTAGAATCAACTAATTGTCTGCTCGACCTTGAACAGGCTGGAGGGAGCTTGGACAGGAGCTACCTTGTACAATTAATTCATTTCCCCCTCCTCCCTGTCTTTCTCCATTTGAATGAGCAGCGCAGTTTTTCACAATAAACTAGTCTCTCGTTCCTTGATAGTTGTTGATAGCTGCTGCTTTTAGAACAGATGAGCGGTTACGACTTTCAGCCTTTCTTCTGTTGCTGAAACGCGTGCGTCGATCTGCACATTCGTTCCATCTTTGGGTTGACTACTTTTGCCGAAACACACAAACTACATGCTTATGTGGATGATCGCAGACACTTTGGTGCACAATTTGTGTCAACCAATACATCAATGGCTGATAATCAGTGTACCGGGGGGAAAAAAAGCCAAAATCGTCTGATTTCAGCGTCTTTAATTTGAACATTTTCTGTTTTTTGTTACTCCTCTGTGACAGTAAACGAATTATCTTTGGGTTATAGACAAAACAGGGCATTTGAGGACATCATCTTGGGCTTTGGGACAAAACAATTGAAATGTTTCTGGCATTTTCTAGGCAAAACAACTAATCAATTAATCAAGAGAAAAAAAAAAACTAACAAATTACTTGATAATGAAAATGTTGAGAAATGAACAGATTTAATTTGGTAAACCCGAGCTCAGAAAGCTAATAGCACTCAAAACTATCACATTAAAGTCCCAAAACAGCAGCTTTTATAACCACATGGAGACACCAACAGTTGCAAAACAAGCAAAAACAGAGATATTTGTGTAGTTTCTACATGTTTTATCCTCAAATTGCTCCGTCCTTCAGTTTAAACTTTAATTATGATGTGAAATAAATATGGCTGCTGGGACTGAGGTGAATTGACTAAGTGGTTGTTGTTTTAATGAGCAGCAATTTCGTGCCAACAACAAGCACAACACAAAGCCAGACACCTACAAACTTTTAACAAGAGGGAAGCCAGAGCATCTCTCATTACCTTAATGGACCCTAACAGGGATAAAGATAACATATGTAATGTTAAAACATGAACCGTAAGGATGCACACGCCGAGATGGCTTGTATATCTGGCAGTGCGTGCATGCCAAGAAAACGACTGGCTTTAAAGTGAGCGCGTGCACTATATAGGATTAGAAGTCATTAAACCGATTGAGAGAGCCTGCAGAGAAAGTGGCTGCACGGCTGGTCATTTTCAAACATGCGACGAACGCCGCCGCCGCCGCTCCCGTCGGTTCAGGCAGGGACACGGAGTTGCATCGGAAAGTTTTTTGCAGTTCAGTGTGAAGTCACTCATTTGTAATACAGTCTATTTCTGAGAAGATTTATCCATGGAGGTGGTTTCTCATGCCAGATACCCAAAAGCATTGTTGGAAGGCAGCCATAATTGTCGTTTGGCTGTGTGCAGGCTATGGCATCTCAAAGCTGTTTCCAGACTGATGTCGCCTCATGAAAATTTAATGAAGAAATAGTTTCCAAAAAGGTGCTGTTTACGAAAGCAACAGAAGACACTAATTAGCCATATCACAGCGGGGAAAGGAAAAAAAACTTAAAGGTGCACGTAGACCTCATTGGCATTCAGACCAAGCGGCTCTTGTTTTGCAGGTTAACACTTAGCTAACATTGCGGCGAGGCGTTTTGCATATGGGGATCTTATGGCGTCCTGCGAGTCTGCAGCCTCGCCGAGATCATCGCTCGCTGGAAGCCAAAAATACTTCCTGCTTCAGACAAAAAGCTGCTCGGGGGCTTTGATTTTCTTTTGTTTTGCTAAAAGAACATGTTTGGAGCAAAGTGCAATGTGACTTATCTTCTTTCACATCTCAAACGGCAGCAAGATGTAGCCCGCCCTTGTTCAGTCAGAAAGCTGAGACACAGGCAGGAACAAGACAGCTTCTACAACACAGCAAAGCCACCTGCCATCATCAAAGCGCTTCAAAGCTCCACCTCGCCTCGGTACACGTGTAGCCGGTGTAACCATGTTCCCTCCTTTCTGTCACCAAAGAAAGAGTTTGACATTTCAGAAAATATGTTTGCTTTCTTGCAGAGAATCAGACGGTAAAAATTAACACCAGTCTCGTCTTATCTTACTAATAAATGTAGCACAGGAGGTGATTAGCTTAGCTTAGCATGAAGGCTCCTGGAAAGAGACAACAGCTTGAATGAATTGCTTTAGTTGGAAACATGCAATTGAATTAAGTTTATCCGATTAAGTAAAGTGATATTATAGCCACTGGTGCAAGTTAGATTTACTACAACGATTCGATGACTCTCAGATGAACAGTTTGCATTGATGCAACTTCACTTAGACAACAATCAATTTGAACTTGCACGTGTAAAACATGATTTTGTCAGCGGACTTATTGCTCGTACAGTTTCTTTATTCTGTAATCCGATGAAAAAACTGCGGTTGAGTAGCAGCAGAAAAAAATTTAGAAGCATTGACATCATGACGTAGACAGATGTGCAATGCTAAAGGAGCAGAGCACCAAAAAATAAACCTAATTCTTGCACTTTGAAGCTGATAGATTCCACAAAAGTGACCACCAGCACCAAAGCAGAAACATAAATAAGATTCATTCCAGGACTTCAACTGTTTTAACTTGATATTATTTCAGAAAATGCATTTATTTGGTTTCTTGTAGGTGCTAGCTTAGCTTAGCTTAGCATACAGACTCCAGAATATGCAATGAAACCCACTCCAGCTTTGCCCAAGGGGAGTTAAATTTATCCAGCAGCAACACATGCAGGTTATGTTTGAGGTAAAATATCAGTGCTTAACAGTGGAGCTCAAACAGTGTAAATGGATTGTTGTAAAAGCTTTTTAGAGTGATTATAATCCTCAAACAGAAACTGATTAAAACACTAAAACCTTGTATAAGATGTGCAGTCAGCCTAGTTATCAGTTTAGCTTTTCATTTGCTCCCAAAACTATTTAACACTGTCAAGGTTGCAGCTGAAAGAATAAAGCGATTGATGATGAGATCACTGAATTCATCATTCACATCAGAATAGTTTTAACTCTTGATTATTTATTCTTTAAATAATTTGTCCTATTTTATTTTATTTTTTGTGACGAGTCGCATTAAATGACTGCATCTGTAATTTTGTGATGCACGATGATAATTAAATCTGCAGCTGTGTCACTTTTTATCCTCTATTGTATTTGAAAACTCCTCGTATTGATTTAGGATTGTAGTTTGTTCTGATAGTGAGAAACGCTGCCAAAAAATATGATGACAAATCTGTCCTTTTAATGTCAAAGTGCTTCCAGCCAGGTTCAGAAACTCTGGATTGACTTAACCGGCGGATAAATAGCTTTTAATGCGACGACTGTTAGGTTTAATAAAGCCAGATCTTAAAACAATATCCTGACTTTGCTGAACTTGCTTCGTGATATAGGTTTGTTTAATCCAAACTAGCTGTCCTAGCTGGAGTGGTGCTAATTATCTCGTTTCTCTCTCTGCAACAAAAAAAAATCCAATCCACATATTTCTCTACATAAACTATAACTTCAACGAGTTGCCAAAACCATCCCTTGCAGTGTTTCTTTCATCGTCACTTTTCTGTTAATTTTATGTCCTCGTCTCTACCAAACGTTGCAGAAAAAATCATTTTCTAAATGCCACCGGTGCAGAAACAGTTATTACTGGGAGACACAATCACTTGCAGACACGTCTTATTCTCTCTGTCCTCTCTGCTTCAGCTGTCACTCATTCTGTTGCTCTGCAGTCCACCGGCTCTCCTCCCCTCACTAGCACAAGGTTTGACGCTGACCGCCGACACGCTCGGTCTGATCTGTGCTACAAATGTGTATTTCCAGAGGACCAGCTGCCCCCTGGTTTCCCCACCATAGACATGGGCCCACAGTTGAAAGTGGTGGAGCGAACACGCACTGCCACCATGCTCTGTGCTGCCAGCGGCAACCCCGACCCAGACATCTCCTGGTTCAAAGACTTCCTCCCCGTCAACACCACCAACAACAATGGACGCATTAAGCAGCTCAGATCAGGTAGGTTTCCTCTGCTGAAAACCTAATTACCAAACAGGGAGTTCTTTCTTTCTTGTTTTTTTTTTGTTTTTTTTTCTTCTATCTGATCTGCTCCCCCTGTTGTATCCTCTGTTCTCTCATCCTCTTCTTCCTCCCATAATTTAACTTCTCATTTGGCTTTTAATTTTGTAGGTAATGGCATTGTTTCTACTCTTCCCGTCCTCTACTCTGTGTACGCCCCGGTGTGTGTTGTCTGTTTGTGCGTCTCCCTTTGTCTTCTAGTGTTGTCATGGGCTGTTGGGATTGTTGCCCCCCTTTCTGTGTTTGCTGGCTTCTGCCCTAACTTTCTGCCCTCATTGCTCACTGCTGTGACTTTTTACGATGAATTCTTTTTTGCCGTTTTGTGTTTTCCTTTCCACTGCATTGGTGCAGAATTTATTCTTTTTTTTTTAAAGAACCATTTACTTCATTCCTATGTCTTTTTTTTTTTCCTCCTTTATTTAAAAAAAAAACAATTAATATTCAACATTCGGCTTCATTCAGAACCTGCAAAAGGAAAGTGCACACGATTTTAAAAATAGGAAAACGTGCAGCAAAGCAAATTAATTATTGTGCATTTGTTGGATTTTTAATTTCTAAACCTTTGAATGGATATTTGCCTTCCTTTAGGTTAAAGAATAAAAAAAAAAACCACTTTTTGGACACTAATCAGCCACAGTAGTGCGTAAAACTGCATAAAGCTTCTCCCTTTACCCACTGGTTCTTTGGCGTCCCTGCTTTAATGTCTCGATGCCAGTTTTGCTTTGATTTGCCTGTGACATATCCTAATATCCAGCACCCCAAGTTTCATTTTATTATTCCAATAGAGAAGTTATTATATTTATTTAAAAAGCAAAATGTTGCAGCTTCCTGTGCCAGCTAACGACGACACACTAGCACCAGTTAAATCTGCAGTCTTGTATGTCTGACCACCTGTCTTCACAGATTTCACAGCTGTCCTTTGTTAAGCCATCGTGTTAACCTTACTTCCTTGCTGACTTGTTTTCAACAGAACTGTGTAGAGCTATAACCCGTATTTCTAACCACTTTTGATTCACGTAGAGTTGATAAAGCATTAACGAAACCTTGTTAACTAAACTTACCTAAAGAATATAATCATATTCTTATGCTGTCTCTCTTCTCTCTATATTTTTAAATCTACAGAATCCTTTGGTAAGTGCTTAGCTCTAAAGCACACATCACCCCCACTAATTTTCCATGTTCCAACAACTATTAAAATGCATGGCATGCATTTTACTAACAGATAGTTTAGCGTGAGGGCTACTACTAGAGGCACACACACTCTCCCCTTCACCCCACGGTGTCCAAGTGTCCCACCACTGCCAGCCAGAGCTGATCTGCAGATTAGAATCACCAACCTGAGCTTAGTTCTGTCATATACTGACCTGGGTAATGACCTGTCCTCACATGTTTGTTACTCACTCACTGACCCACCACTTACTCACTTACTTAATCTTTTAACACCAGCACCTTAGGTATGGAAATGTCCAAGAGCTTTGTTAGGGAGGTGACCAGCTCTGCTTAGCTCAGGTCAAGCAAAGGGACCACAAAGTTTTTGTTTCTATCTCTTCTCTCTCTCTCTTTCTTTTTTTTTTTTTTCTCTGCTCTCAATCTCACACACAAAGTCCTGAAAGTCTTTTCCTTCAGTAGATGCTCTTCAGAAGCCATTTGCCACTTCCAAAAATGGCACCTCCCCGTGGTACACCAATGTACAAGTTCTTCTCTCTGACCTATGATTTTTCTATGATGAATCCTGTCTTTCTTTGCCAGTAGAGTACAGAAAAAAGTTCTTATTCTCTTTCTCTCTCCTTTCTCTCTCCTGTAGTACCTTTATTTACGTACCCTGTTAAATCTAATTTGATTCTTCTTCCAAAGCCCCCAGCCTCTATCTACTCGTACTAATGCTTCTTCTTTCTAATCTTATTTGCATTCATATTATCCACCCAGGTGGTACACCAATAAGAGGTAAGAGTGCTGAACTGACGTTCACAGAATGAAAATAATACAAATTCATTCTTGCTGTCAACCCATCCATTCACTCGAGTCACCTCCATTTTTGTCCTGTTTACCAAGACCAAATCCCATTATGTTCATATGGACCTTCCTTCTTATTTGTCCTGTTTCGTTGACTAAATTCGTATTCCATCTTTTTTGTCTATGCTTTATTTCCTCCTTTGTATTCTTGTTTCAAGAGCCTGTTTAGCTCAGTTGTGATATGCTTGCCCTGGCTCAAATAAGCATATCCAATGACAATTATTTTTTAAACTATACTTTTACGTTCATTTTTGTTTTCTTTTTGGCCATAGCGAATCATGTGTCCCTCTTTTTGTCCAACTAAAACAACCAAGCATTTTTCCCCCTTAGCTGTTCTTGTTCAGCACTAAAAAAAAAAAAAAAAAAAAAAAAAAAAAAGAAATGCACAGATGCTGTGGAATCACGCAGGCATGCTGAAGACAACATTCCCTCTCCTCTGCTTTTTTCTCCCAAAGAGTTCTTTCTATCTTTGCAAACTATTTTTTTTTCCATTTCTTCTATTTGCTTTCCTCTCCTGTACCTCTACAAAAAAGCCCAAACAACCACTTTTTTGATAAAGTTTCTACGGTGCTTTTTTTCTCTTTCACCTATTTTTCTTACTTTTCTTGGGTTTGGAGACTATTTTACTTTTTGACTTTTTTTCTTCAGGGTTTGGGGAAGGCAAACAAGTAGAGTCTGGCGAGGACCCGATTGGCTCATTTTTGCCGTGTGACATGGAGCTGAGGAGTTGTTGATGCATAAAGCCATTTTTCCCTGGGTCATGTGACACCACACTGCTGATCCCATTGGTGGATTTTTATGGGTGTCTTTTGTAGCTTTGACAAAGCTAAAGCAGTGGTTGGTTACCTTCTTGTCGGCTCAGGCCGGTATTTTGAATTTTGTCTTCTAATACAATTGCATTTTATTTTTCAGCTAAGGGTTGTCAGAAGGTTGTAAGTTGTGTCGACATACATTTCTTGCTAAGATTTGCATGTCAAAACTTTTGTTCCAGAGGGTTATGTGTTGGTTTTGCCTTACATAATACTTCAATTAAATTTTTTCCAGATATCTGAGCAGCATTTTTCTATTTTTTGTATGCGCTGCATTTTTTTTTAACAAAAGCCACTTCACTTAGATGAAGTCCCAAATTATCCTGTAGGCTTGACTATTACACCCGATCTGTGATTGAATATGCTAAAATTCATACCTAAATTTCTTTCTTTCAATTGTCTTCCCTTGTTATGCTGCTTTCTTATACTGTAAACCTCTTTTGTTTGATCCATGTTTCCCTGAAGCGGTATCACTCATCCCCATATTGACCAGTCCAGTGACATGTTGTATATTGACGGGCTTGCCCCTATTCTTTAAAGTGAAATTATGACTTTTTTTTTTTTTTTTCATTGGCGCTAGGATGAGTGTCCTTTTAGACCCTATAAGTAATCAGGCTTTTTCTCTAAAGAGGTCGTCAACAAGGTAAAAGGTATTAGAGACAGAAGAGAAACTTAGGTCTTTTGGATTTGGTTGACAATGTGTTATTTTCTGTTCCCGTGTGGCTGCTTTAGGCCTGTTAAGGGAAACAACATATATTTGTATTGCCATGTTTTTGCATGATGCAGCTATCCCCTCACCTATCGTAGGATTACACAGTTGACCTCAGCCAGCGGATCGGGCTGTGATAATGATTGGGGGATAAACTATAAAGTAGAGCTAATGGCAGAATGTAGTATTTCACTCATGCAGTTTATTGTTTAATTACAACCGTCCTGAAACGACTTAAGCTTGACAGGACAAAGCAAATCTAGAAGTGGAAGTTGGGGGGAAGGGGGGCTGATGTTGGCCTCCTTGAGGCCAAACAAGCTCGTTGCATTTTTTTATTTATGCTTGTGAACTCCGTGCCAGCAGCATAACTTTAACCAAACATACTCCGCCACCCCCCGTTTGCTATTCCCAACCAGGAGCCCTCCAGATAGAGCAGAGCGAAGAGTCCGACCAGGGGAAGTACGAGTGCGTGGCCACCAACAACGATGGAACCCGCTACTCTGCGCCGGCCAACCTTTATGTCAGAGGTAGGGGATGCGCGTTGACGTCGCCGGCATGCTTCTGTCAAACATTATGTTGAATTTCTCTTTAAAAAAAATTCATGAGGAATCTTTAAAATCAGCCAATAAAAGTCTGCAGGGGCCATATCCTGTGAGGCCACTGTAAGTATGCTTTACTTTTTGGTTCTTTTTTTTTTTTTTGCACTGGACTTACCTGCACTGATTTGAACCTACAGTTTATGCTCTGTCATGTCTTTCTGGTCCTTTCTGTGGATTATCCTGACTCTAACACCGATGGCTAGACTGCTTGCTGTGTTTATCTACTAATTGCTTTAAAAACCTGACTGTTGGAGGTAGACGTCCCGCCTACGTTAGTCCCGACTCTTTCCCCAGCAGTGAACAGATCCTTTCTCTCCCTAATTATCAACATTGGAAGGACGCCTTTAATCGTATTAATTTAGCTATTGACAATGAAAGTGTAAACCTATTTTTAGCACATCAAGAGTTAAAACCTTTACATAACTTTTTCTAGATTTGGTATTTTGTTAGCTTAAATTAGCGAAATTAGCTCATAAAAATCACAGCTTTTGGTTGCTACACAGTGTTTATACGACTTTAGCAAATGCAGTATAATTAGCTGCTTTTTCTTTTTTTGCACACAGCTTTCACTTTTTTTAAAGTAAAACTATTTATTGCATTGCTGTAACTGTATATACTGCTTCCTACTTGTTTTTTTTCTCCAGTATTATTAAAAGTATTGTTTTAAATTCTCTATAAATACATGTGTGTAGCTGATAAGATATATTTCTATCTATTGTTCATGTATTTTTTTTATTTAAATTTCACAATGCTCTTCAGTCCTATGGTTAGCTTTTAGTAAAACTATTATAAAATCCCAAAGTAACATAATACAATATGCAATAAAGCAAAACAAAGGACTCGATTTTAATAAAATCACGATAAGCTAACCACATGGCTTGGGCAGAAAATGTGTTAAAAGTTAAATTTTCCTTCTTGTTTAAAATGCCTGGGTGCCAGGGAGATACCAGGGGCTCCCTGCACCGCACAGACAGAAGGTCCTTCGAATTGTTTAAGTAGCATTTGAACACCTAAAACATGGCCTTTTTACTCTCTGTGTTTCCCTTGTTTTTCTCCTTTCCTTATTGCATTTTGTTCTGCATCAATTTCCCTACATCCCTCAGAGCTGCGAGAAGGTTGGTGTGTCTTTACTTTTTGAACACAACACAAAACAGAAGCTCTTTTTTTTCTTTGCCACAAAAAAAAAACAAAAAAAAATGACATCTTGACATTGCAATTAAAACACAAGTGCATTACCATGTCCTATTTTTTTTTTTTTTTATTCGACCCATTATATTTCTTTTTTTTTACTTCGGTCATTTTCTTTCTCTGTCGCACATTTAATGTTCATGTTCCCATCGAGAATGCCCCCCGGTCCTTGTCAGAATGCTTGACTGTCCAACAGGTGGTGCATGTTTGCATCTTGGAGGTGGGGCGGTCGGGATGATATTTGCATCTGTCCCGCGGTCGATTTGCATGGTCACGTGTCCTCCCTGTTCCCCCCTCTCCCAGCCCTGTCAGTGTTCCTGCTTGGTTTCCTCTGATGACTAACAGCACAGCAGATCAATAGGGAAGGAAAATGCGCCTAATTAAGTCATTTCTTTGCTTAAAAACACACAACATCAGCAGGAACCATGTTCTCGATTTATGTGGGCTCCTGGAACCAGCTGCTTCGTATATGGGTGCTGAATCTCCCGCTTCATATCGCCATTTAAGCTCCACGACGCTCAAATTTTCCCCGTGGCGCTCTCTCTCCAACTGAAGTTCCTCGTAGATAAAAAAAAAATATGTTAAAGCAAAATCCATCCTTTGTCGTAATTGGCACTAAAGTCGAGCGTCAAGCTGTAAAAACAATCTTGCCCTCAGAGATTATGCACTTCCTCGGATGAGGATGTTTCTGCACAGGAAGTCATGAAAAAATGATGCATTTAGAGCGTTATCCACAAGACTTGACAAATGTAATGATATTCAAATGAGCAGGATAATATTATGTCTGTGGGGAGCGTGATCCAATTGGATATTAATTAAATATTGAGCGAAAGAAACGTTGTATTTAATAATGCAAGCAGTTCCCCTAGATTTCCTCTCTGGAGAGCCGCAGTCTGCTCGACAGAATGGGCTTTATGAATTAGTAGCAGCCAGCAGGAAGGGCAAGACTGTGTCGCGCTCACATATAGCAAACACTCGCACAAATAGCACAGGAAAATATGGCGTTTACAACTGGGGTAAACTCATAAATACAAGTATCCGGATGTTTAGAAGTGACAGTTTTCTTCAAGGTTCACTACTGATTGTCCTCTCAGCCAAGCTAACAGTGATCTACTTTAAATGCCGTGAGCAGTAACACTGACTTAACTTTTAATTTGAATCCTAACAGCACCTGGTCGTCACTTCCTGACTTCGTTATCATCTAAATATCATCCTCGTCGATAAAAAATCTAAGATGTTCGCCCTTTGTCCTGCTCCTTCTTCTCCCGAGACCCTTTAGCCACATTTACAGCAGTGGAACACTAACCCGCCCATTTGCGCCGTGCGATACCAACGTCTTCCCTCCGACCCCGCTACTACTTATTTTGCCCCCTGCGGCCCCCCGTTTCCACCCTGATTCCTTCGCACGGTTGCCTCCCAAAGTCACGTATTGTTCTCGTATGCATGACGGACTCCTGCTCCCCTTCAAAAGGCCTTGAAGCCGTCCATGTGCGCCGTGGATGTTGTACGTTTTGAGTTCACTTTGAAGCAGAGCGCTTTACTTTGATATTTATGACCTTTCTTTTGTTTGTTTTTTTGAGAATATTTTTAGAATGTGCATCCGCTAAAGCTGTCAAATGATATGCACGGTGACAAAACGTTACATGATAAAAACCACACATCTTGTTGCACCATCTGCACTTTTCTGCATCTTTTTAACAGGCTAGAACATTGCTATTGTAATTATATGCATGTGTAGTGAAAAATAATAATAAAAAAAGTCATTCTTTGTCTTGTCTCCTTATGAGATTCCTAGAAATCTCGGCACACAATCGTCAGCCTCTCCATCTGACTGATCTCTCTCAGTCCTTTCTATTAAACTGCACTTAGAGGCATGCACTCCCATTGAAATACTTTGAATAAGCATCAGTTCGTTTTGATTTATTTAGAGCGTGGATTGATTTGCAGAAGGTATTGTGGTGAAACACAGTAAAAGCTTGAAGCGCCGTCGTCTTGCATGAAGCTCAATCGTCCCTGAATTCACCAGCATAAAGAAACCACGCATAACATACTTCTGTCCTCAGAGCCGTCCGGCACAGTTTTAAAAAAAGGTTTACCTTTCTTATCCATGTTCACAGACTTGTTTGCATTAAAAGCAGACTAGAACAAAGCTTCTAATCTCTGTGCACGAAAGGTCAGCGTCGGTGTCAAGTTGATCAAAAGTGCGACTGCGTAACATTTGACAGCCTTAGTTTTCTGTTTTATTTGGATTGAGCCTGAACAGCGCAGAACAACACCATCCCTCCTCCCCTCTTTCTGTTGACTCCTCGGCTGTTTTTTATCTATATGTCTGTGTGATGTGAGGATGTGACGCGCCACATTATCTCACATCAGCTGGAAGTGCGCAGCCTGAAAAGTTGTTTCTTTGCATACAACTGTGGAGTGCTGTTGACTCTCCAGCACCTTGTGCAGTTGTGTGTATATCCGTACCGATGGTGACGCAGTATTTTTGTGCATGGTGCTCGTGTCGGTGTCAACCCATCCACCACTAAACCTCGGATCGAATGTGTCGAAATGTTGTTTTCTTAACCTGTGTCACAAACTACCCAGACAGAAACTGATTTCATTTTTATGCTACGATTTAACATTCTGTTCCCATAAATAATGTATAAACACGAAAGCATCATTTGAGGGACAATACAGACCATTTTTCTCTAAAGATTTTTTTTTGAGCTGTTCCATTTTCTGCTCGGTTTTCACACCGCGTTTTGTCTGTTTCAGTGCGCCGGGTGCCACCGCGATTCTCCATTCCACCTACAGACAATGAGATCATGCCGGGCGGCAGCGTCAATATCACATGTGTGGCAGTGGGTTCTCCCATGCCATATGTCAAGTGGATGCTGGGTGCTGAGGATCTTACGCCAGAGGACGACATGCCCATTGGACGGAACGTCTTGGAGCTCACTGACGTCCGGCAATCGGCCAACTACACCTGTGTGGCCATGTCAACACTCGGGGTGATAGAGGCTGTGGCTCAGATAACGGTGAAGGGTAAACATGCTTCTTATTCTGCTTACTCTGAGTTAAAGACGGAGGAGGAAAGCAAGAGGCCGGCTTCTTAATAGCTGGACGTTTCTCTGCGTTTCAGATTCTCCATTTCAGGTCGCAGCTCATATTTGTTATTAGCAGCCTACCCAAGCAGAGACAAGCGGCGGCGCTTTAAAGAAACTTATTTACCTCTCGCTGTCATGATAAGTCATCTGCAGAGGATTCTTTAAAGCTTTAGACAAGCCCTGGCACCAGCCTCAGTGCATTAGATTCCAGATTGAGAATATAGTGAAGTGCTTATCTCTCAGCTGGAGAGCCGCAGAGCCACCAGCTCACCATTTCTGTTAGCAAGACGCAGGGAGGCGGGTGGAACGTAGTGAGCATTGTTTGGTGTCCTCTGTAGACATGGTACTTATCTGAGTGTAATCATATCTACACTGCGGCATACTAGAAAGATATCCCAGATTGGTGTCGCCAGACTCACACACACACACACACTCACCGGCTTTGTTTTTCCAAGACATAACATAGAGATATTAGTCACAATATAACAGTGTGGCAGGAGCTCCCCCAGAAGCATACTTCAAATGGCATATAAAGACAATCTATTGCTCTGATATCTTGTGCCATGTGCCACGGTGCGGGGAATTAAAGCAATAAATTTACCTGTTTAATTATTAAAGTGATAAACACTGGGAAATCCAAGATTAACGACAACAGCACTCTTAAATGCCGAACATGGGGTATACAAGCCCTGGATCCCACACAGTCCTTCATATGCACCTTCTGTTTTTTTTTTTGTGTGTGTGTGTAAACTAGGAAAGTGAAATAATATTAAGACTATCCACCCACCTAATAGAATGCGCCAAACATATGAGTCTCTTATGAGTGGAAATATACTGTGTGTCATCAGTATCATGTGCAATGGTCTGGTAAATTAATGTGATCAATATAAGTCAGCCATCAACAAATTAAAATAAAGTCTCTGCGGCTTATGAAATAAATTACAGAGGTATAACTTTGCAATGCTTTGCAGTAGATTTTGCATTTTTATTAATATTTATGTAATAATTATCATCACAGCGTTGCCCAAGGCTCCCGGCATCCCTGTCGTGACGGAGCGCACCGCCACCAGCATAACGCTGACTTGGGACTCTGGCAATCCCGAACCGGTGTCCTACTACATCATCCAGCACAAGTCCAAATACTCGGAGGACCTGTACAAGGAGATTGATGGCGTGGCCACCACGAGGTACAGCGTGGGAGGCCTCAGCCCCTACTCTGACTACGAGTTCCGAGTGGTGGCGGTGAACAACATCGGGCGAGGGCCACCCAGCGAGAGCATCGAGGCCAAAACAGCCGAGCAGGCGCCCAGCACGGCACCGAGGCAGGTCCGAGGTCACATGATGAGCGCCACCACAGCTGTGATCCAGTGGGACGAGCCCGAGGAGGCCAACGGGCAGATCATGGGCTACCGGGTCTACTACACCATGGACTCGGCCCAGCACGTCAACCTCTGGGAGAAGCAGATTGTCCGGGGGTCGAACTTTGTCACCATCCAGGGCCTCATCCCAAACAAGACCTACTACATCAAGGTTCTGGCCTACACCTCCGTAGGCGACGGACCTCTGTCCCCAGACCTTCAAATCATCGCCAAGACAGGAGGTGGGTTCAGAAAAATGTTCCACAGTCAAACTTGGAGTGTCAGAAATATTTTTGGCTGCTACATTTCTTCTTTAGCCGCTGATCCTAATTAGTGGGTTGCAGTTGTTAACCAAGAGCTGTAAACACGTCTTCAAGCTGTCAACAGACACTTAAACGGGCTTTCTCAAGAAGGAAACAATTGCTTCATGTGAAAAAGCAAACAAAGAACCAAGAAATTCCAATGCCACTTTGATTATTTCTCATGAGAAAGTCTTTTTTTTCTAGTAATTATTAGGACAGTGTTGTTAAACTTGAGTGAAAGTGAAAAGTGAATGAACGGTGCAGTGATATAAATCTATTTTGCAATTCCAGTTCCCTCCCAACCAACCGACTTCAAAGGAGAAGCCAAGTCAGAAACCAGCATTTTACTGTCATGGGTTGCCCCGGCGCAGACGGGACAAGAAAATCAAGTCACCGGATACGAACTCATGTACAGAAAGAGAGACGACAAAGACGAGGTGAAGATTTACTGGCGTCGAACCATTTGGTTGCAGCAACTTAATTTTATTTTGTTATGATGGAAGTTTTGTCTGCCTCGTTATATTGATAATATGACTCATTAATAGGACATAGGAGGCACGTTTTTCCTTTCTCGGCATTTGTATGTATTAACCTGATGCTGGACGTTTACTATTTAAGTGTTGAGTACATACGTATGAGCAATTATTCCATTAGTAGTGCGATTATTTATCCGGTGTAGTAGGTATGAAACTATTTTTGGAGTTTCAGCAATCAGAAATAGTTCAGATTCTATGAGGAGTTTGAAATTTAAGGTATTATAAGTAATATTTTTTAACATTTCTGACTTTGACCAGACACTACCTTCAAAGTAAGAGTGTCATATTTACATTTAATTTGTTTATCACACTAAATTATTACAAAACTTCTGTCATACACGAATATCTCACTTCATTTCTGACATTTTTCTCCAGCTGAGAAGACAGTTTCCTCATCTTCATGCATTCTCACAAACCTCCCTGTTTTTATATGAAAAAAAAAAGTGACACCAACAATCTTTCCTCTCCGCAGAAACGAATCAGCTTCGAGCCGACAACCACATACCTGCTGAAGGACTTGAAGCCCTTCACTACTTATACTTTTCGGCTGGCTGCTCGTAGTAAACACGGAGTCGGAGCTTACACCAGCGAGATCTCTGCAGAGACTCCACAGACACGTAGGTCTTCTTCCTTATCTGACAGAGTTTATATTATTTGGGAAGTAAGTCATTTTCAAATGCATTCTGAAAACATTTTTTTAACGTGTGCTGCAAAAATCTAAAAAGTGACAGAAATGTCAGGAAGGTCCTACCCAGCACTGATAACGTAAATGCAGTTTTTTTTTTTTAAACTTTAAATGGCTGATGCATTTGAAAATAGCAAAGATGTAAACATTGAAAACAGTAAATGAGTGTCATGAAGGCTACCTGACCATGCAGTACTCACTTTGAAAAGGTTGCATGGACAGTGTACCTGGGCTTTCCTGTAAAGTCGGGAGACAAGGTTTTTAAAAAATAAAATAAAATCACTCTCAGCCTTTGTTGTGCAAAACCGGGCTTTTCTTAAATGAATGATAAAGTGTTGAATTATTCATACGGACGCCCATATCTGTGTCTGTGTTTTTTTTTTATGAATGAAAGGGCACGGCTGGCCTTTAGGAAGCCTTGTCTCTTGGCATTGCATGTCAGCCGGAAATAAGAGAACACAAAAGTTTCGAGACTGAGCTTTCTATGTTTGCAAGAACCAATTCCTCGAACGTCAAACGGGGACTTTCCCGTTTTTCCTCAACCGCTCAATTCAAATTAGAAATCAAGTTTTTGGAGTTACGATATCATAGAAAGCTCAAAGCAAGTGCTGTCTTTGTAGTTAGGGAGATTTCCACCCAAAGGCCTCAGATTTATGGAACAAGGCAAAATTGGGAAAAACAATTGGATGATGTTGTTTGTGAGAAAATTAAGCGAAATCCAGCGCAGTCTCAGTAAAAAAAAAGACAACCACGAGCTGCTGCACTTGACTTTGCACGTCCGACATAAATCTGAGGGCTCTGAAAGACAAGGGCAGAGACCAGGTGGGTATCAAACCTCAGAAACTCCAAACTCTGCCCAGACGCACTTTCTGAGGTAAATGATGAAATGAACACACGAGTGCATGCCAATGTTCTCAGACTCTAATAAATCAGTCATGTCTCCTTGGGAAGTTCTCTGTTGTACAATCAGGCTTTTACCACAAACCAACAGGCTTCGGAAAGGTTGGTGACAAATACAACATTTTTTTTCTATTTTAAACTAGCCACAGCATCAACCTTTATGTTTTTGGATTGATGGTAACTGCTTGCCAAATTTGTCTCAGTACGTTTATTTTTGGAATGGTTTATCTTCAGTGAAGAGTCCTTTGAAATAGGCTGAGGTTTTATTTAAGAATTAAGGGATCTAAGAAGTAGTGCTCTAGGATGTGTGATTTTTTTTTTTTTGTTTTCCTTTGTTTTTTATAATTTATTTTTTCATGACAAAGGTAGGTCACATACGGTAAAGCTGTCCCTTTTTTTTCCAAATCAACACCTCCCATTCATCATAAGTGTGCACACTTTTGTGTTTGTCTTTTGGTTTCATCTTTATTTGTGATGTTTCACGGATTTTTAATCCTTTTTTTTCTTTGGTTTACCCATAAGTCATTGTGCTTGTTCCTCATTTGTGTCATTTTATTTCCCCTTTTCTTTTTCCTTGGTTTGATCAATTCTACCATCATCACCCCAATCGAAACTGAAACTTCTTTCAAAAACAAAAAAACAAATCCAACTCAATGAATGGCCTCAACCAACAACAACAACAACAAAAAACACAAACCTGCACTTGCTCCAAATCCGACCCACCAACCAGAACCCTCGGGCCCGCCTCAAGACGTCAAGTGCTATAGCCCCAGCTCCACCAACATCCTGGTAAGTTGGCGGGCGCCCCCAGTGGAATTACAAAACGGGATCATAACGCAATACACCATCCAGTACGCCGCGACCGAAGGGGAGGACACTGCCGCTCGCCAAATCTCCAGCGTCCCTCCGGAAAGCTCCGAGTACCTTCTGGAAAACTTGGAAAAATGGACAGAGTACCGCGTGACGGTCACTGCTCATACAGATGTTGGAGCAGGACCGGAGAGCCTGCCACAGCTCATCCGCACAGAGGAGGATGGTATGTGTTCGCTCAAAACAAAAGCTCCAGCTGCAAATCCAGTCTACACCCCCCTCTCTTAACCCACCCCAACAAAATACTAACCACCTATCTACAACTCCCTCTTCTTTTCTACCCTCTCTGCCTGCTTCTAATATGACTGTCAGCGCCTCTTTTAGCCCCACTTTGGACAATTTTTTTCCCTTTTCTTTACCTACAAAACTGCGACTCATTTTTTGGGGATGTTTTTTTTCACGCTGCTCAATTTCAACACATGGTATGGCATTTTCAGCTGCAGGCCTCCAACTTCCCGTCCCAACTGTCATTTTTGAAACTGAAACTGCTTTTTTTTTTTGTTTTTTTCTTTGCATTTTTTGGGAACTTGGCAAAAAAAAGGACAAGTTCTGGACAGTGGGAAAAACTAAAGGTGGAAGAGTTTTTTTTTTGTTTTTTTTTAAAGGCCATGTTTTTTTTTTCCCCTCGTGCGGCTGTGTGACAGAATCATTTTTTTTCCAATTTATTTTTTTCCCCCCCTTTGCTCCATAGCCAAAATTCTTGCCGCGCTTCAAGCAAATAAAAACTCTTGAAGCCTCCCCCCCACTTTGGCTCCACTTTTCTATTTTGGCAAAAACACATTTTTATTCCATGTTTTTAAAATCCACTCTACCCATTTTTAATGTTTCAAGATTAGGTCAGTTGTCAGACCTGTTTTTGCTGTTGTTTTTTTTCCCCCCCTTACCATTGTTGAAATATTGATGTCATGCAGTGCTTGTTGCAGTTTGCTGCACTTTTGTGATTTTTTCGGGTCACTGCAGCATTTTGCGCTACGGCTCTGGGCAAGATTTAAAACAAGAGGGTGAAGGGGTGCTCTATAATTTTGACCTTTTTTCTTCTATCCCATGGTGTTCCTCCAGTTCCTAGTGGGCCACCTCGTAAAGTTGAGGTGGAGGCTGTCAACTCCTCATCAATTAAAGTGATCTGGCGTTCACCGATGCCCACCAAGCAGCACGGTCAGATCCGAGGGTACCAGGTGCACTATGTCAGGATGGTTAATGGGGAGCCCACAGGACAGCCAGTCATCAAGGACATCCTGATTGATGATGCCCAGGTACAGCACCCCCTCAGTCTGCCACCTCATCTCTCACACACAGTATCGCTTTCTCTCTCTCTCACACACACACCTTCCCATGGGCTACAACTTTTCTCTTTTATTTGGGAAGGATTTTTATTTTTATTTTTTTTATAAAATTGATTTTTCACTTTTCAACTGGAAGCACAAGCTCAGTGCATATTTAACTATATACATACATATGTATAGGTGTTGCTACTTGATGCTATGATTGTGTTTTTTTAACAAGACACACATTTGTTTGGTGTTCGCAGACAAACTGTGTATGGTATATTTTCTCGCTCGTGTCCGTACGAGGCCTTATTTGTTGTCTCTTTCTCTCTCCATGTTCTGATATCATAATCAGTGGGAATATGATGATTCAACTGAACATGTGAGTAGCTAAGCTTGACAAAGTTCCAATTCTGCTTTCCCCTGCTGTTATCCTCTGCATGAATGGCATGCTGTGCACATTTCCATCTCTTGTGCAGTCGGAGTTCAGCTGAACAGCCTGATTTCACTAATAGCTTGAGCATTATTTCACCATATTGCAATGTTTACCTTTAAAAAACTGCTATTCTTTGCCACCGACGTCTATATGACCAAACGCTGACAATAACAGATTCAGTTTCATCAGTTGTTAAAATAACATCCCATCTGGCATGTCATTATTCGCTAAAGTTCATCAGCGCTATCCTTTAATTGTGCCTCAGTTTTGAGTCCATGGTCCTGCTGCTATCACATCCCACTTCTATCATTCTGCTCGCTTGTATCTGCATATCAGCAAAATGAGTGTCCCGCAACTTAAGTCCGGCATCTTCACAGGAAATGATCATCACAGAGCTGCAGGCTGAGACCACGTATTCAGTTACGGTGGCCGCCTACACAACAAAAGGCGACGGTGCGCGCAGCAAACCCAAACTGATCACCACCACTGGCGCAGGTAACGTAACGTCGCTGCTGACAAACCTCCCGTGTCTCTGTGCCAACATATGTTCATATAAAACTACATTTCCACTTTGCAAAACAGTGAAATTGCACCTAACAAGGAAACGAGAAAATGATGCACTATGCTAAGCACTGTTCACACTTGTCAGTGAGCGTGTAAAGTGTGAATGCAGCTAATTGCTGTCTCATTAAGAGCAATAACTCTTAGCCACTGGTATGACATGGCAATGCTGGAGGCACTAGAAATAATGGAAAGTGCAGTGAGAAAGAAAGAAAACAAGGTCACCCAAGTTCACTCTTTGTTTTCACCTCTTTTGACAGTGTTTACGCCACATAGTCAGATGGTAGATTGATACTGAGTGCCTGTTTACTACAAATAGAAGGAAACATGGTTCTCCATATTTATAACGAGTTGTCCTTTTCTCCATTGCCACTATTAGTTCCTGATAAACCTCGGCTTATGGTCAGTACAACCAACATGGGCACAGCTCTCCTCCAGTGGCATCCCCCAGCACTAACCCACGGGCCCCTGCAAGGCTATCGCCTTCGCTTTGGCCGCAAAGACGTGGATCCGCTGACTGTCATTGAGTTCCCCGAGCGAGAGAACCACTACACGACCAAAGAGATCCATAAGGGAGCCTCGTACACGTTCCGCCTTTCAGCGCGCAACAAGGTGGGCTTTGGTGAAGAGACGGTCAAAGAAGTCACCACCAACGAGGACGTACCGAGCGGCTACCCTCAGAGCATCACAGCCGAGGGCGCCACCACCTCCACCATTCAGGTCAGCTGGCAGCCTGTTTTGCTGGCGGAGAGAAACGGCCAAATAGTGAAATACGCTCTGCAGTATAAGGACATCAACAGCCCACGCAGCCCCTCAGAACTCTTCATCACCGCCCCGGAATCAACAGTCATCCTGGATGGCCTTAGGGCAGATACCACTTATGATATTAAAATGTGTGCCTTCACCAGCAAGGGCTCTGGTCCCTATAGCCCAAGTGTCCAATTCAGGACACAGCCTGTGGATCAAGGTAGGACCAGTCCCTGAACTTTCTTAGCCTTTCCCCTTTTTAAAAATAAAAAAAAATCAACCTTTCCCTGCTCAGCCCTTTTCCAACCAGCTTCCTCTGAAAGCTTCAAACGGCAGAAGTGTACAAAGCATGGACTCAACCAGAAGACTTTTGTTGGTATTAACATGCTACCCTATCCTTAGTCCCTTTAATCTAAGAATGATTTAAGAAACTCACATGGAGTAAGTATGTATGTCTCTTTGTGTCTTGTCAGTGAAGCAAAAGTCAGTCATTAAGTTTAAGAGTTGGTGTTGGTAAGAAGGTAAGAGGGCAGTGTTGAGTTCAGCGTAGTTCTGCTTTCAGCCTGGTTTTGAAGGAGGCATTTTCAGGTAAGCGCTGCTGTGGGACCACTGGTGGTGGATAGATAAAATCAAAGGATGTTGTGTGTCTAAATCACCTGCTCCCCCTTTCTTTTAGCAGTGTTTGCAAAAAATTTTCACGTAAGAGCTGCCATGAAGACATCAGTGTTGCTGACATGGGAAATTCCTGACACCTACAACCCCGCTCAACCTTTCACTGTGAGCACTGCGCATCTAAATATAACATCCTCTGTACAATCCTAACACAAGACAGCTGGTGGACATGAAACAAACCCATTTGCCTGCAGATCCTCTACGACAACGGGCAAAGCGTGGAGGTGGACGGGAAGTTAACGCAGAAGCTGATCACCGGTCTGCAGCCTGAGACGCAGTACTCCTTCCTCCTGACTAACCGGGGCAACAGCGCCGGAGGTCTGCAGCATCGCGTGTCCACCATGACGGCCCCCGACATCCTGCGCACCAAACCCTACCTGATTAGCAAAACCAACTCGGACGGGATGGTGACCGTAGAGCTACCAACGGTGCAGACGTCAGAGAGAGTGAGGTAAGCAGTGGTGATGACGTCGATGGCTGAGAAGCCTCCAGGTCAACTAGCATTTTGTTCCCCAGTCAAATCGATGCACTAATAGACTAATTTAGGTGTGTTATTGTACACAGTTGTTAAAATTACCTGCAGATCGATGCACCAGATTTGAGCGGCATCTCTGAGTCAACCGTCATTATCCTCAAGCTGCTTCAAGCACAATAATTTTACCTTGTAAAAACGCCTCTTTTGTTGGATATTTGACGTGGAACTTTTGCCACCCATCGCTAATGTCCACATCACTGATTACTGTTGCACTGTGAAGGGAAATAAACAAGTTAACTTGATAGCTGACCTTGTCAGGAGTAATTCTTCCAAAACAGTCATTTATATTCATCCCTGCGTTTCGGTGTAATATCCACTTCACCTCAGTCATTACACACTGGAGCAGCCCGACTCATTTAAGCACACTCTTCTAAGCCCTATAAAGTCCCTTATAGCCTTTCAACAAAGCCCAGGGTTGTGAGAAGGCCAAGGAGCACATCCGATTGCAGACTGAAGCTTCAAACCCATCTTGGGTTTTTGATCTTGCTGGATGCACTTGGCCCACAGTCTCCCATGCCAGAGCTTAAGCTAATTAGTTTCCCATTAGCCTGCCACACTGCCATCCTGGCTAATGCTAGCTAGTGCGATGGCCAACCAGGAAGCCCTACTCTGGCGGGAGGCTCTTATCTCTTTTGCCACCCTGATGAAGGGATGAAAATCCCTCTAATTCTGTATCTTTTCCGCGTTCACAGAGGTCTCCTAATTAGCCCACGGGGGGCCTCAGTGAGGTGAAGCCATATCGCCTGACTCCTCTGAACATGCTCGAATTAAACTGAAAGCAGAAGAAAATGGGCCTAATCAAGTGATAAAGAATCGCATAACTTCGTAAATGCAAGATTATGTGTCTTTTTTCATTGGTTCCTCGTCAGCGGATAACACAGGCAGACTTGGAAAGCGGTTCTGTCTGACTAGCGAAGACAACTGGTGTCTTTTGTAAAGTGGCAGTGATTTTTGACCTTGTCGAGAATGATAATACGCTGTGCTTTACATTTCCAGGGGGTATTACATCGTGGTTGTTCCTCTGAAGAAGCAGCGCACTGGCAAGTTTTTCAAGCCTTGGGACAATCCAGATGAGATGAATCTAGAGGAGGTAGGTTCAACGCCTGATCGAGTTGTTACGACTCTAGTGACAATGAAAGAAATCTTAAATACGATTTGCAAAATTCATTTTTTCTATTATCCAGTTAGTCTTCTCAGCTTCTTAAGAGGGCCTTCAAAACTGTGTGCACATACAACACATTTCTTTTCTCAAAATAAGGAAGGAAAAAAAAAAGCTGAGGCAGTTAAGAGGGCAGGAGGAACAGGAGATGAGTCTCGCTGATTGACGCAAATAGCTGCAGAGAGCACTGTTCATATGGAAATGAGAACATGAAGTAGCCATCAAGTGCACTGCAAACTCAACCCCCATCCCCACCTCCTCCTCCTCCTCTTTGTGTCTGTGGTAATTACCTGAAGAGCTGCATCAGGCCTTCATGTCTCTTCTCATTCCAGGCAAAGCTAGGCTACTGCATATGCACAAAACACTTGACAACTTTTATATTTAGCCGGTTGAGATAATTCAGGAGCTCCTGTGCATTGCATGCATGACTAAATGTGTAAGCAAATGAAAGCTTTTATCACTATGTACTTTCGGCTGTGATTACGTTTCAGGTATTCTTCCCCCTCTTCACGCACAGAAAGCTCCTGATATAGTTTGTCTTGTAGAAAAAAGTATGAACGTGGAAACTTCTAAAACTCTCCCCTTCAGGTTACAACAATCCTGGCAGGGATTCCTGCTTGTAAATCGAACCCTCTCGTGAATTTTGAAATTCGGAGACTTTAAAACATTGATTTCTTTTGTATAAACATCGCAATATATCACATGTCTTGGAGGCGAAAAAGAAAACAGAGCCGTGTCTCATTTGGCATTGGCTTTGCAGCTCGTGCCTACAGGCCCATGTCTGTAGCCTTGACCGATTGCCCAAAAGTCACCCCTCTGTCAGAATTTATTTGTTTGTCAATATTGGCACTCACCTTTTCACAACTTTTCCCAAGGGCGGCTAGATTTAGCCGTGTTGACAGGAGAGATGATTGAAGACATTATCGGGCAGCACCAACAGCCCCGCAGCCAAAACAGAGCACACACCACGACGCACACACTCCAACGTGAATGACAAGCCACACAAAGCCATGCACGGACGCGCGCACACGCAATCGTCGGCGCACACGAGGCAGAGATATGCAGCCAGACGCCCAAACAACTAGCCGGGCCTTGATTAGCATAATTATCATCCACGCTTTGTACTGGAAATTTAAAGTGCGATGAAACAGACTTGTATGAAGGGCACGGCGTTTCCTTCTGTCGGTTGGAAGAGAAAAGGTGGCACTTTTTGTTCCAACATTATAGATATATAATGGTTTTCTTTGAAAACTAAACTGGCAGGGACGTCGGAAAATATTTAAATCTTACATTTTTCGAGTCAATCTTTTGTTTTTTTTCTCATCAAAATAAAATTTAAAGCCATTTATTGACACGATAAATCAAATATTCTCATTTTTCTTTCATGAATATTTAAGGCAAGAAGTTATAATTCTAAAATGCATGCAACTATATAAAAATGTTCTTTTTCTTGTCACTCTGTGTCTACTCTCACTATCAACAAGAAAAAACAAACAAACAACAACACAAAACAATAATAGAGCTATGTAAGTTTTGAATTAATTCAGTCTCTCTCGTTTTTTTCTTCTTACTGTTTGAAGCTGTTGGATAATCCTCAGCTGATTTATATGCTGGAAATCCACACAATCTTTTAATCTCGCCATCTTTTGTAGTCCAAAAACAGATGAAATAAGTCATTGATCTTTTCTGTAATGTTCTGCCGTTTGCAATCAGCATTTTCAGCTCAGCAATCAGACCAAGAAAAAAAAAAGCAAAAAGAAGAAGAAAAAATCTAGATAGACAGATTTGTTTTCGTGTGTGTGTGCTGGAACATGTCGCTGTGTGTTATCAACTGTCTGCTTCTTATTCCTCACTGTAGCTGCTGAAGGAGATAAACCGAACGAGCAGAGGCCTTCGGTTCCAGCGGCAGGCAGAACCCAGAGCCTATATCGCTGCTTACTACAAAGACCTGCCCAAAGACTTCACCCTGGGAGACGGCAAGATGTACGGGGACTTTGAAAACAAGCAACTCGAGACCGGCCTGGAATATATCTTCTTCGTGCTCGCTGTCCTGGAGATGTCTGAAAACGTACGTCAGCTCTTTTTTCCCGCGCCGTATAATCTCGCGTGTCTCTCATGTTATCCTCGACTCGAACTTTAGCTCGGCTGTCCTCTGGGACGTCCACCGCTGTTGTTCTGAAAACTCTTCCCAGACAGAAAGGGGTTAAATCTGCTTGAATCTCGGCGCGGGGTCGGAGTTTGCTCCCGGTCAGATGTGTTACTCTGAGCCCTTGTGAGGCTTTAACTCGAAAACTTAAAGCTGCAGCCGGCCTAAGGAGCTGACCCTTGCTGCTTCGGGGAGAGAAGCCCCTTAAGACCTTAGCTGATCGCAAGAATACCTCGATAACGGAGCTCCTCTTTAATTGCGTCCTACGTGCGGTCCACCTTATCTCCGCCGCTGCAGCTACTGTGTGTGTCTGTCTGGACGGGAGACCAGAAAGCCGCATTATTAGGCAGCTGCAGGCGAGATGATGGATTTGATGAGCTGCAGGGTCTATAGTGCAGCCTCACACTCTCTCCACTAACCCCGAGTTCAGGTAGAGCAGAAACGATAATGACGGACGGAGGGAAATCTCTAATTTGCCCACTGAAGCATATATTTTCTTCCCACAAGACCTTTTTTTTTTTTTTTTTTATCTTCGCTTAGAATATGAAATGGCCAATCAAGGCTGCTGTATAGGAGAGATATTGAAGATAACTGTGATTGGTCAAACTGCAGCTTAGCAGAAATTACACAGGAAAAACTTTGAATTGGCTTTCCATTTGCATTGTTGGAAGTCCTGTCTTAGATATGCCCTGTGGGGCAAATTAATGGAAACCTTGCAGTGCTGTTTCTCAAAATAAGCGTCCTCCAGCATTCCAGTTCTGGATGTTGAGGGAACAGTTTGACACATGAGAGACCGATAAAATGATTTGTTTTATCCTCGCTCAGATCATGTACGCCACCAGTCCCTACTCCGACCCGGTTGTGTCGGCCGGCATCCCACCGCAGCCGGTCATCGACGAGGAGGAGGGTCTCATCTGGGTGGTGGGCCCCGTTCTGGCTGTTGTCTTCATCATATGCATCGTCATTGCCATCCTTCTATACAAGAGGTGAGGATATGGAATGATAAGACGCACACATTCACTGCATATAGGGACCGTGCGCTACACATACTTATGTGTGTTTAAAATTCATCTCGTGTGCAGCCACTCAACTTTTATATATAACCTTTCAATATTTAACATTCGTGCAACCAACACACCACCTCGCACAAATCTTCAATTAGCACATTCGAATGCAGACACTAAATGCGCGATTTTAACTTAAAGCCTGAGGCGCATTGATCCTCAGACTATCCGTGACCCTCACTCTCGGCAAACTTTAAATCTCGTACGTGTAAATCCGAGCATGCAGCTACCCAAACTGTCAAGCCATCAAGCGCGGGCGCCCACAATCCTTCACACAGAGACACGTGCGTTGACTGAAAGTTAATCAGACACATCCCTCCGCTCCCCGCGAACACACACACACTCAGAAACCCACATAGAAAACACTTACTGTTGTGCACTTTCACACTAAGGAAAAACAGCTTTTTTTTTTTTCTTTTTTTTTGCCCGAAACCCCCTAGTGGTAGTCAGGCCTCGTGCTGTCACTGCTCATCAGTCAAGCGTAGGAGTGGAGAGCTTTGACTATCTGCTGCATGTCACTGCATGTGTGTGTGCAGCTTTAGAAAGGCCCTGGGGCCCGGGCTAGCTTCCCAGCCACCCCGGCCCCTCCGCTTTTTCACCGCTACCCATCCCACAGGGGAACTCGGCTCCAGATCCCGACTTTGACCTCACGCCGCCACACAAGCCCCTCCTACATGCACACATCTACGCACTTGTTTTTTTTTTTTTTTCTCCATCCCCTCCCTCTCCTCCTTTGCTATCTCGTCTCACCTTTTTTTTCTATAAGTCACATTTTCTGCAGAGTTCATTCACTCAAATGTCCAGGCCTAAGCAGAATTTCACAGCAGTCCTCAAGGTGTAATTTTGGAAAGATTAGGAACTGAAGAGTCAGCACAAGCTAAAATCAGTAACAATATTGAAGACAAAAAAAAACACACATCAATAGTATGAGTGTAATCTAAGAGGTTTATGGGTGCAGCTTTATTCTGGCTCTTGCTTACGCATTATTGTCCTTGGGATCCATTCATATCAAATTTTTGGTTTGGGTAACACGAAGGTGAACTGTAAGTGAACTGCATATGCGGTGGGCTTCGGCGTTTCCATTTGCGGCGGGCAGATTTACACATCGATTACCCGAGCCGGTGTCACCGCCGCGTTAGAGAACATTCAGCGCATATCCAGGAGATATTTCTCTCGTCGGGATCAATTTTTATGTGACAGCGCTCTTCTCTTGTGCAAAACAAAAGGGAAGACAGACATGTTCCGGGATGTGCAGCTTCATCAGAGGGAAACATAAATCAGAGTAAATAGGGCTCCTATGAGTACAGTAATTGAAGTCAGGTCATGTCTACTACCACACTAATGGGTTTGGGTTTTTTTTTTTAACTAAAGCATACATTTCAACACCATGTGCTTAATTTATACACATTCATTTAAAAAAAAAAACTATGATTGCACGCGTTGATTGCATTTATAATACCACATTCATGAATCCTGAACATGCACAATTTGTGATTTTTAATAAATGCAACAGTGGTAGGCAGGAAAAGACAGACACAGCAATTAGGAGTCAAGAGATGACTTTTATGCTTGAACAAGAAGCAATCAGCTGAAACTGCTTGAAATAGCAGATATACAATGTACAAATCTTGGATGCACCTGGGAAACTGTAGTATTTGAGACAAAAGAACCCCAAGGCTGCATAATTGAGCATAATCTCTGAAGTGAAGCATCACTAATCTTGCACGCCAAGCAAAACTGAGATATGATTGGTATCGTTTGTCTCTTACGCAAGCCTGTCATTCAGCTATTCTAAAGACAGAGAAAAAATAAAAGTTTCTGAAATTCTCCGTTACATAAAGCCAAAGGTCTCACCGCCTAATGTTGTGTTGATATTTCTTTCCTTGCCGACCAATGGAGCAGCAAACCAGACAGGTAAGAGTGAGAAAGAAGTAGAAATAAAATAATCCCCTTTCAAACCCCCCTTCCCCTTTTTGTTTTCTCCTTGGACTGTACATGTTGTATCTAAACATATAGAGACTTCTAAAATCAAAGCATATTTATCTTTCTAATAAATGCCACATAAACACCAAATTACATCTTGAATTGACTGTTATGAATGAATAAAACTGCATTTCCATGTGTGAGAGATTGTGAATCTTTACACCTGCATTGAAAATACTGAAAAATAAACTGTAAATAAAGGTCCCCAACATAAGAGAATGCAGTACAATGGCCTTGTAGTAAACACACAGCACCAGGTTACAATAGATTGTGCTCTAATACCACTCCCTAACTACAGCTTCCGAATTACTACAAAGCTGAATCCACATGCAATCCTGACACCATCGCTGAGAAGTGAACATTAGGCTTCACTCGGGGTAGTATTTAACGGCTAAGGGCTATTGTACTGGATGGCATTATACCGCAAAGTGATGATGCTATTTAGCCCACCCCCCCGTAGCCCTATGTACTGAAAGAATGCAGTCCTGTCACCTCCTTAATTACATATCTGCCTTCATTATTCACGAGACCACAAGGCAAGCTTTGAGGTTGCACAGGAAGAATTAAAAGAGTGCAAAACAGAGAAATGTCGAGAAATAATTACACAAAAAAAACAAACTATCTGCCGTTTGTTCTACAGAAAAAGAGCAGAATCTGAAGCTAGAAAAGGTAGTCTCCCCAACAGCAAGGAAATGCCGCTTCACCACCCCACCGACCCGGTCGAGCTTCGCCGTCTCAACTTCCAAACGCCCGGTGAGTATAAAGCCGAAGATTTATACTGTGACTCTAAGACTGCATGTGGGAAAGGATGCAGATGCTACTGGTTGCTTGCTTTGAGGAAAAGAAACTTCACAATTAAGCTGTTGCTTTTTTTTTTCGTTCGAAACCTCTGCTGGCACCCTAAAAAAGTAATCTCTAGCAGCAAGACTGGCACTAAACAAGCGAGCAGTTTGCAGGTAGACAGCGGACAGGTGCTCGGAGGAGGCACGGAGGGTCAAAACTGACACCGTCCTCCCTGGAGACGCTCCTCGGCGGAAAATGAAGAGGCAGGAATGCAGGGTTGACAGTTTCATGGCATCTGTCATCTTCCTCCTGCACCTGGGTTATCCAGGTCATCAAGACTTGTCATGCTTGCTCTGAACACCGCAGTCCCGCCTGGGTGATATAGTGCCGCTGCAAGATGCGGGGGGGGAAACACAAAAATGCACCGCGGCTACGTGTGTTTTCAATCTGTATGCACGCCGGCTGATAGCGCCGAGGAAGCGGTGACAAGCTATAAACACTCGTGTTTACTCGCTCCGACCTTTAGTGCCGAGGTGAGTGGTCAGTGGTCATGCCTTGGCTCAGTCATGCGGCCGCTTTCCCGCCTCGGGAAAAGATGGCAGTCGCAGTCCATTTATCACCTGGAAAGGCAGTATGCATCTTTGCCCCTATCGTGGCCCGGAGTGACACACTTAACTGCCGTTTGAGTTCCTCTGGCACCCACTGCTTTGGGACACGTGTTTCGTAGACTGCCAATAATGTTGTAATATCAAAGCCATATTTTTCAGGTCAGCTACTATGAAAGGAGGATGAATTATCCCTGCAGGCTCATTTTTTTGCAAAAAGATTATGCATATTTATGAAAGCTCTTCAATGATTTTAGGACCATTACAGACTGTTTCATCCTAGCAGAGGGGTATTTTTCCTTTTGGCTCAGAGTGATCTCAACCATCCTTCCACTATTTCGCTCGCCTCTTAAGCCATCATTTTTCCCCCCAACAACCTTTCTGAGAGCTGGTATCTTGGCTCTCTCGCTGCTCGAAAAGGACCAATCATTTTATTTTTTTTTTCCCTACCACCCGACCACTTTCTCTCAAGTCCCGAAGCGCTTGTACATTAGACCACCTCTCTCCCCTACTTTCTCTACCCTTCCTTTCACCTCTTTACCCCCTCAATGGACATTTTCATCTTAAGGATGCTTGATGTTTGAGCGACAGCGTGCCGGAAAAGGTACTTCCATTGTCCCCCCACTGGTGGAAATGGATTTTGAGTAGTGGGCTGCGATAGAAACAGCCTTTGCCGTCTTTCAGAGAGACGCGAGAGTGGGTGGGAAAACAGCGCAGCTTCCATTAGCTAATGCCCACTTGTGCCAGAAACCAAAATGAAACATCACCTCGGTGGAGAGAGAGACACCGTCACCCAACTGGTGTGTCAAAGTGGCACATGGATCTTAAGGTTTCTGGTCTGGATTGTGGTAAAAAAAAGGTGGTCTGTTTTCGAGCTTTTCACTCCAGCCTTGTTAATTCTACATTATTAAACAAACTTAACCGCAAGTTTCAGACTGCAAGTAGTGCATCTCAGGCTAAATAATATCCAGCTCTGCTTTGAGATGCGAGGATTTTAATCCCCCCCCTGTCCGCTTTCTTATTTCCATAAAATGAGCATGGCATAGCAAAGCTTCTAGCATGGTGATTTGTTTGTTACTAATGGATGTCCCATTTAGAATACACATAATCATTCAGCTACTTCTTGTCACATTTTCTACCTTCCTTTTGTGAAGAAATTAGTCATCACATTGCTATGACGTCTGCAATGTACTTAATTCCACCGCCGTTTCCTCCACAGGTTCAGGTGCGCCCAGTCACCCCAGTAACCTCCATTTGTCAAGTTAGTTGGTCTCGATTATGCATTTGACATGATTTGTTTTTTTTTGTTTTATTTTCCAGCTTTAATTCCCTCCTTTTTTCCCCCCCCTTTTTTTTTTTTTTAAATTTCCTGCCAAGTCTTGTATTTCCATCCCCATCTAATCCATCTGGTGTTAATGCTATATCATCACAGGAGGCGGAGTTTGAAAATGACAGCCTGAAATCATGTCATCACTCAAAGCAGACGTCAACATCTGGCCTAACATTGAATGTCTTTCTTTTGTTTTGTTTTTTAATTTTTTATTTTGGGATGTTTGTTCGTGTCTGTGCTTTACTGTCATGCTAACTCTCCGCTGCAGCATTTCGTGTGAATAACGTTCTTCTCTCTCAATAGGGAGAGTCCCAGTGGGGCAAGTGTTGCTCGATGACTTCTCATTGGCTTCTGTGTCCATATATATATATATATATTCTCTTTTACGAGCATGGTCACTGCTTTGAGTGAACAAACTAGCCTAACAAGATCCACTCTTCCATTCCTCCCTGTTATAACCACATGCTGCTTATCTAATGATTTGCTTGTGCTTGGGTGATGCCGCCTTGCGAAGACCGGCGACTGACCTTCAGTCCGTCTATTTGACAGGCATGGCCAGTCACCCTCCGATCCCCGTCATGGACTTGGCAGATCATCTAGAGCGCCTGAAAGCCAACGACAACCTCAAGTTTTCCCAGGAATATGAGGTGAGTGTCAGAAAAGGGAGACGGCTGCATGCACCAGATGTTCAAGAAATTCAATCCATTTTTAAGGAAATTTCAAATTACTGCCGCTATTTCATGTGTTTGGCCAAATCCCACCATTTTGCCATCGATTGTATTTTCCCAGAAGCCTCAACAATGCATCAGTTGGGTTTTGTGGCTGGATGGGGTTAAAAACTAATAAACTTTAATATATATTTAATATTCCTGGAGATTTAAAGTCATCCCCTTGTGCATTTTTTTTTTCACTGCAGGCTGTTTGTCGAGTCAAAACAGGAAAGCTAACATTAATATTGGCAGCGTTCCACTTCAAGCGCTCATGCTATTGTGTCTGCTGGCTGACCTACATGACTTCCTCAGACAGATGAATGAAAGAGAGAGGCCCAAAATTAGTGATAAATGTCAGGATGATAGCTACCACAGACATTATTTTACTATTTAAAGGTGAAATCTGTGTTTATGAATGACTATGCTGTTAATATAAGAGATATTTTTATGGTGATTAAAGGTAAAATACTATTATGTGCTGCTGTCAGATGCCCCACAATAGAAATATGTGGGATACAGCAAACATACATAGAGAAATAGATTTATATATGACTGTTTATATCGCCATCTCACTATGTATATATCCATATCTACCCATTGTTTATGCTTGGATACCCTAGTGCCCTGCTGCCTACTTAACAGGAGTGACTAATACACCACAGAGATTTTAAAGGCTTTGATTTGTTGACACTATATCCACACTTTAGCTCAAGTCTCTACCTGTATGTCTACTATACTAAAAATCATAGTACATCAAAGTAAAAATTTCTAAACGTAAAACTCTCACTGACTGATGAGATCATGTCATGTTTCCTTCATATCTGCATCACAACGCAGTTCTATTTGCAGTCGAGCAAAAAACATGCAAGCCAGAGATCCTCTCTGTGCGGGATATGAATGGCCACCTTTCCTCTGCCCATTTCTCTCTACGGGTCCTTCAGCAACTCCAAAATCTATGAGGTCACCGTACGGGTGCCTGCCAAGCTGCCCAATCATTACTGCAGCTTAAGTACATTGAATTCCAATTTCATAGTGCTTACTCGAGAGCAGTGGAAAGCAATTTTGCGAGCACAATGAAATAAAGATTTTTATTATGAGCAATGTTGCAGCCCACTGTTTCAACATATTTTGATAAAATATCAGACTTAGGCGGTGGTTTGTCTCCTACATATTGCTGCCTGGGTGATTTCTGCAGATAAAGAAGTCGGCGCTTAAATGCATTCACGCTGAGCTTTATGTGCTCTTAAATACCTCCTAATGTTTAACCGCGTGATATGTGAAGTTTGCGATCATTAAAGTAGCCTAAAAGCTGATTTGTTGTCCATACAAATTACTCCAAAGTAATTATAAATAGGCAGATTTTTTGAGATTATAACAAAGGTCAACGTGGCCGTTCTGTTGCGCTTCTATCACCGTCAGCGGAGATGAACTCGTAAAACCAGTCTGTTGTCATTAATAACACAAGCTCTTCCCCGTAATGTGAGAGGGGAATGCTATTTTTCACGTCTCCGTGTTTTCCCTTTGTGATATTATATTTTATAGTTCATTTATCAGTCACGAGGGACCCCTATCAGTCCCTGCTTTACAAAGTCGAACGAGGGCTTAGGTGGGAAATTGAACTGGTCTCAAGTGTGGCGTTCTAGCATGTGCCATAAAGTACGGCTAATCAAATGAGCACACAAGCATTTCCTCTGCGACCAATTCGGGCTACATCCTTTTGGCGGATTTAATCATTTGCATGTAGCGGCGAGCCAAAGACAACACGGAGTTCTTAAAAGCAGACTTTTAAGTCAGATTTCCATCCGCAAGAGCCAACTTAGGATGAAATATGCGAGAGGTAATGCTGCGTGGATCGATGCTAAAATATCGATAGCTTCCACTCCCGATGCTTCTGTTCTAGGATTGATTATTACATTAAAAGATCGATGAATAAACTCGAGGTAAATGTGTATTTTATCATCAACGGGGGACCCCGTAGACGGTGGATACGCTCAAAGTCTAAATAACACTGCTTCTCCTTTTCCCTCGTTATAGTCGTGTATGAACTTTGGCTCCACAAATGCATTAGTCACTGAAGCTAAAATAAAGCCGCTGCAAGGGCAAAACAGACCTCCATCACCGAGTCCTTTAGCAGTGGCAGGAAACAGCCAGGTACGGAGAGAGAACGTGGAGCTCGGGTTTTTATCTCCGACCGTGAGAAAGTGATTCACGTCCGTCTAAAGGCTTTGTTCAAACAACGGGAATTCCCAGCATTCTCCAAACTACAAAATGCTGTTGTTGTTGTTTTGTTTCCTTAAAGTAACAGATATAAATAAGTAAAGCGGCAAAATAAAGTTATGAAGTGAGTAATGGAATAAATAAAAAGCTATATAAAGATCAGGGCTGCACTTTGCCTCGAGTGAGATCCGCGTCCTTGGGATCACCTCACGTCTATTCAATAAAATATCTCTCAGTTGCATGATTATTTTCAAAGCCCCGCGATGCTGAAGTGGCTGTTTTACTGCCGATGCACTGTAAATTTTAACGACAAAACGTATCAATTTTGATTTTTTATTTTATTTTTTTTAAAACAAGCAACAAGCCTCACTCGACTTAATGTACGAGCAGCCAATGACGTCTCGTTCGATTTTACTGACAGATTATTGGCTCGTTTATGCATACATTATGCAAATTATCCATTTCATTATGCGTTTCACTGACATTTTCTTTTAATTTGAAGCACATGGCGTCCAATGTGGAGCTGTGTAACACTGATTCATCTCTTTTTCTTGGGTTGTCTTGTGTGTTTTGGGCGGCTGCATGCGTCCTTGCAGCTAAAACCAAATAAGATTTAGAATATAGCACTTGATGAATCCGTTTGCCCCGATGCCGAGGAAATAAACATTTTCTCAACACGTTTTGCATTCAACAAGTATCGCTACAGGTTTGGAAAGAGAAATCAGCCTCATTAACCACAAAGAAGCCAGATTATTTTCTGCTTAAGTGCAAAGATTAAACGTCTGAGTTCGGCAACTATATCAGCTCTCAGGCGGAGAATAACAATTTTCTATTTGACTCAATAACCGCAGGTACATTGTTGTAAAGAACAAGATATAATTCACAACTTAGCAAAAGCAGAAAATGCGGTTATTGTGCTATGCTACATAATGAGCTGTATTGTGTAACTTCTTACCCGCGATTGTGAATGACAAAACATATAATTACATTAATGCAAAAACCATTTCCCAGAGCAGTTCAAAGGCTGCTTGATGCTGTCACAAAGCAGCCAACTTCTTCAAGCATTCTTCTTTTAAAATGTCAAAGAAATGACTAAGTCCGTGAAATGCTTTTGTGCTCAAATGACCGGCCTCAGATGAAACAGATATTATTGGACCTAGAGGGGGAAACCGTACTCATGCATGAGTAACTGAACGGCAAGAGGTGAAGTAATATCTTATCAATATTTTACAACCTTTATGCATCACTGTTTTGCACACTTGAGGTGGTAAAACAGCAGCAACTAAAAATTGATGTTGTGCACGACAGTTTCACACGATGCGTATTTCCAGCGTTTCCTCTCCAGCAATTGTGCCATTAGAGTAGAAAAAAAACAGATTGCGGGACACAAGTGACACATGGGAAATATTTATGAGAAGGTAAACTGCCTTCATGGCAACATCGGCAAACAAAAGTCTGGTTCAAGTCTGAAGGACGCCAACCGAGTATGGATTTAAGATTCAAGCGCATTTTTAAAGAGCAGTAGTATATAGATCTGATTTTCATTTTTGCTCTGTTGTTGCACAAACACCTGACGGGCAAACGCTATAGATTGAAATTCAATCTTAGTTTAAAAAATAAAAAAAAAAGAAGCCTTGTTTTATGCACCAGCAAAATCCTCCATTATAATAATGAAATCTTTTCTTCTCTCTCTCTCGCAGTCCATCGACCCTGGACAGCAGTTCACATGGGAGCACTCCAACCTTGAGGTCAACAAACCAAAGAACAGATATGCCAACGTGATTGCCTACGACCATTCCAGAGTCTTACTCTCTGCTATTGACGGTACGCCGCCCACCAGCATCTTCCCTCCTAACTGCCGTATCGATTCCACACATAGCCGACGCAGCCGCGTCTCCGAGACCTCAGGAGCGCAACCACACTGTACTTTCAAATTATATTCCTACGCGAGCACGTCCAGCTACTTATTTCCTTTCATGCCTCGAGTGCTTGCAAAGAAAGAAATGCCCTCAAAAAAAAAAAAAAAAAAAGAGGCGCTTCTCCTTTAAAATGCTGAAGCAAGCACTCAAATCAAATTAAACAATCACATACGGTTAGGGATGCGGGCGAGCTTTACCAGCATCTATTCCTCTGACCTAATGTCAGGTGATTCTTTGCAACGCCTCGGGGTTGTATGAAGCCGGCTTCTTCAGCAGAATTCATTCCTTGATGCCGGCTTTGAGTGCTGCTCGGAGCGCACGGCCGTTTGCGGTACGCATTTGTTGGTATGTGTTTGTTCAAATATCAGACCCATCCACATTTGCCCTTTCACTACCTGCTCGAACTCGACAAAGCGGCGCACGAGATAAAAACATTCTATTAGCCGTCGCTAATAGAATTACGTGGAAAGGACTCGTTTGAGATGTGCAGGACGGCGCTCCGAACGTCATATTTGGTTTTATTAATGCGCGCCACCCATTACGGGACCCGACTTGCACCAAGATTCTTTGGTACATTAAAGATTCGTTGCCTCCGAAGAATGAAAGGGCATTTTGAAAATGGCTAGTTAAGTGCTGACTCCTTCACCAGTTTATTGGATTAAACACATTCGCGCGTACACACACACGCGGCTATTAATTAACCGTCGTGCTGCTCCCGTGGAGGGGCGCAGGCAAAATAAACAAAGTAGTAAATGGGTAATGTGACAAAAACAGATAGATAAAGACTTTGGAGAGGCCCTTTTTTTTTTTTTGCAGTCTCTCAGAAACAAACTCTCTGCTTGAGTGTTGATGGAGCTCCATTAGCCACGTCTGTACGGCCACATCGGAGCCTTTGTGCTATAGAAAGTGAGTAGTTCTCAGCCAGGGGGACATGAGGGACTTCCTCTTTTCCTTCTAAAGCCTTTTGGCAAGCAATGTGTCTATTGTTTACTTTGATTGAGTTCTTTGAATAAAAAGGGATTTGGGGGAGTTTGAAGACAGACTTTTTTTTTTTTTGATGCGGGGATGGATCAACGGAATCTTTGGCAAACAGCGCTCGAGGAGCGTTTGTGAACTTTAGTTCCGGCGACGACGTCACTGAACTCGCTCCACTTTAGGCGGCGGCTGACAAAAGGACCTCTCGCAGAGTCGCCCGGCCGCAGGAAGCACGCGTTTAGCAGGATTAAGCCGGCGGTTAATCCCTGCAACTCTGTCTACCCTTGATTTTTTGTAGTTTGCGTTGAATTTCATCGGCAAGATCCCTGAAAAAATCATTTTTTTGGAACATTACAGATGCTTCCTCGCCTGCCTCCTGACTGACAAACGAGGTCGTCGATTAAGAAAGCAAAAAAATTGTCTATAAATGAAGGAATCACAGAAAATGTGCACATTGTTTTAAAACATGGCTGCGACTACTACGAATGATCACCATTATCATCATTACAGCGTCGTACCCTAAAAGCTTTCTTTGAGATTTTTTTTGTTTTTTTTCGCCCTCCCTCCTTCTTTCTCGTGCGAGGACTGAGTGCTGAACAACAATGTTTATTCCTTAATAGCCATATTGACAGAGAAAATGGTGGAATTTATACAAATCCTGAGTGACAGAAAGCATAAAGGCAAAATCCATTTGCAAATGTGCATTAAACAACTTGACTCATTCTCATTAAACCACACAGTAATGTCTTTTTTTTTTTTTTGCTTTTTCTTTTCAAATTGAAAACACACTGGGCTTAATTGTACTTATCCCCTTGTCCATCACAGAAATGCACAGGCGCCTGGCTGTGTGGACAACTTCAACAAGCAAAATGAGAGGGCGGGGGACAGTTTGGTGGGGAAAAAAAAAAAAGAAAAATATAATGTGTGTGGGTTTTTCACTGTGTTCATTTTCCATTTTCTTTCCCTTTTTTCTGTTGAATAAGTTACCTGAGAGTAAAAGGGAGTCTGGGGTGGAAGCGTGGGGGAGGGAGGGAGGAGTGAGGGGATTCTCTGAGACGTGGCGCCCATGCAGATGAGACTTATCTTGGTCGACCATGTGTGCACGAAGCCCCTAAACTGCCAGTCCTAAAGCATTGACTAGCTGTCAGCTCTGTCTCTTTCCCCTGGATTCGAAAAGGCTGCTGTGCCTTTCATTTAATATAAGCAAAGGGAAGGAGGAGTGAGGAGAGATGGGGGGGAAAATTGTTTTGCTAGTTTTTTGTTGGTTTGTTTTTCTCCGTGTGAGGTGATAGACTTTTTAGAGACCGAGCTTTATCTGTCAGTCAGTTGCAGATACCGAAGAAGGGCGGAGAAAGAAAGAAAAAAAAACTGTTGATTTAAATGTGTTGTTGATAGCAAATACAAATCCGTTAGGGCTGTAACAATGGCTCCAAAAGTGACTTGTTTATGCTATATTTCTTCCGGAAAACACTGGTTTTACTGACTAAATTCGAGGCGGCACAGAGGACAGCCTCACACGGCGTTATCGGAACACGACGTACAAACCTGACATCGCTGCCAATAAGCTGCGTACGGAAAATAAATGCGCTGTATTTTTCACATTGTGTCAGACAAACAAAAATTCACTATTTAATTTGAGATACGGCCCTTTGACGACGGCTCACCTTGTCTCTTTCTAGGCATCCCTGGAAGCGACTACATAAATGCCAACTACATAGACGGCTACAGGAAGCAGAACGCCTACATCGCCACCCAGGGATCCCTGCCAGAGACATTTGGTGAATTCTGGAGGATGATCTGGGAGCAGAGGAGCGCCATCGTCGTCATGATGACCAAGCTGGAGGAGAGGTCCAGGGTAAGGGACGAGGAACAGTGGATTTTAAAACCTCAAACGGCGCCGCAGTCGCTCTGACATCCCTTTTTCTTCGTGACCCTGCTAAAACTTGTACAGTACGTTCGACTGCGACGCTCCAGGTGCCCACGTATTTATTCTCCGCAAGACGCCAGCCTGCTTTCTGCTACCCGCTGATATCCTCAATCCTCACACACTGTCGTCGTATTGTCCTGACTGATTAGTGGCCAGCCGTACTTCATTGGCCTCATACTGCTGAAGGCACTGGATTACAATCAGCGATAAAAGACAGTCTGTAAAGCGACATCGCCCGGCTCTGTGCACTCGCTAGTCTGTTAAGGCTGACATAGTCAAAAGCCGCTATTTCTCCCTCTCTCTCACTCTCAAGCATCTTACAGCATCTGACTGAGCATATGAAAGCATCGACAGACTCCATAAGCTACTGACCTTCACACTCGTGTGCCTTTTATAAGAGTGTCGTGTTAACCGGGGTGAAGACTCAATCCAGACGGCAGGTTTCACTCAGTATCCCCACAATCTGCAAATAAACCCTGTTGTCACGATTTGTTCGTTAAATCTGATCCAGGTGTCTGTTTCACTCTGCAGATGCTGGAGTGATATTATTCTTTGCCGTTTCCTAGGAGACACACACCCCCATCCCGATGCGTCTATACCATTATATTTGACATTTGTAGCACATAATGCGCTTTTGTTGCCGCTAACAGCTCGCGTCTTTCATATTAATCAGTCATATCATTCGCAGGGAAGCACTCAAGCTGTCATTGTATGTTTTGCATATCTAAAGCTCGACTATTTGCAAGTAAACGCTATTAAGGATCGTTTCATTGCTCCTGGTGTCGCAAACACTCCGCTGCTCTTTGTGTCGGCGTTACAACAGCTGCTTGGGAAATGGAATTAGTGGATGGTACACTTGTGAGGAATCGGAGTATTCCAAGAAGTCCAATTGTCACATTATTGAGAGATGTTCGTATGGCGGGACGTGTTGGGGGAAACTCGTGTTAAACATACTCCTAAAATCACATCAGTGGCATTGGACAATATGAGGAAAAAACAATTAAGCTCAGTGATTTCCTCCCCAACACCAGCAGTGTTTCTCTTTGTCAGCTAAGCAGTAATGCTATAATGGAAGCGAGTTTTATTGGCCGTTTACTGGAGAAACAAAGCTGTAGACTCAAATAGCAATAAAGCCGGGGCGATAATATGACTCAAAACTGTGGTTAACTTTGTAATTATTGAGTATGTCTGCGCAATTAATAGCGCTGTTGCCTCTGTGCAAATATCTCAGGCCGTTCCATTGATTCGAAAATCAAACCTCGTCAGCAGGAATAAAGTGGAATTTGGACGTTTGTTTTTGCCGTTATTTGACTTTGCAGAACTGTAAAGCGCCTTTGGGCTCGAGCTAAAACACCGAACGCATGAACCGAGACTGTTTCGCTCCAACTGTAGGTCAGAAAATGTACGCAAACACGCCTTGTCTGATGCCATGTTTCTCCCCGCTGCAGGTAAAATGCGACCAGTACTGGCCCACGAGAGGGACGGAAACGTACGGTCTCATCCAAGTGACACTGCTGGACACAGTGGAGCTGGCCACGTACTGTGTCAGGACATTTGCACTTTTTAAAGTGAGGATTTTGCAAACTTAAAAAAAGAAGCACAACAGCTGTAGCGATGTGTTGGTTGCTCACCTCTTCTCTTCTATCTCCATATTCAGAACGGCTCCAGCGAGAAGAGGGAGGTGAGGCAGTTCCAGTTCACGGCCTGGCCAGACCACGGGGTACCGGAGCACCCCACCCCGTTCCTGGCCTTCCTGAGACGGGTGAAAGCTTGCAATCCTCCAGATGCGGGGCCCATGGTGGTACACTGCAGGTAAGAAACAACATGGATTCACAGGAATATCCTCAAGCATGAAATTGATTTTTTCCCTCTCCATTTGCTGTAATGAATAAATGAATACATATGACAAAAACGCAACATATTCACGGTTATTTAGAGGTCTATATCTGAGTCACTTGATGATTTAAAAAAAAAAAAAACAGACTAGACATGAACCAGAGGAAGAGAAAAATCTGTGAAAGGAGAATACTTGATGGGAAGTAAACGGTAGCCCAAACAAATCAGCCCACTAGCTTTCACAGGAGGCACTTTAAGTCAGAAGGTGTTTTCAACATCGCAGCACAAAGAGTACTAGTGTCATTGCCCTCAGCAAACTTAAACATCTCCTCCCACACAGTGACACACGGATACGCGCCGGCCTGTCGTATTCCTCGCTACACCGCTAACATGTCGCACATCAGCAGCCCACAAGTCCTTGGCTTATCCCCTGGGTTATTGCATCTGAAACAAATAACTTTCACGCCAACTTCACTTCCCACAGCTACACAAGCGGCCAGACTCCCAACAGAGAGCACAAAGATATAACGCAGACTTCTGGCTTCTCTTAACTCGGGGAGTCATCAGAGGCTCGGCGCTGAAAAAGTGACAGAAGGAGGGAAAAAAAAAAATATAAAGAAAAAAAATTAAGAAGCAGCGATAGCGAGTGTAACAGATACAAACTTTTGTCAGAAAGCGACAAAAAGGGGAAGGAGGGATTACTGAAGAATTAGAATTACCACATGCTGAAGTTAATTAGTGCTAGTTGCAGAATCGCTTCAAATTGAAAACCCTGACTTTTTTACAATGAGGCAGAATGTAGGAATTAATGTCACTCTGCAGATGGGAGTTTTTAATTCCTCTGGCTCCCTATCAGATACAGTCGAGCTCCAAATCCTATACATGCATTTTCTAACTTCGTGTTTGACCACAATTTTAAATACAGCCATTTTTTTATTCGCGTATATATATAGTCACGTACTTGCAGAATAATATTAAAAGTGTTTTGCTCGAGCTCTTGATGCACATGCGAGGCCTAAATAAAAGCTAAAAAAAAACGATTTAAAAAGAAAAAGAGTGTCTATAATTGACAGCAGTCTCTCTGGAGCAGCTGGCTGATTAGCTTGCACACCAAAAAAAATTCAGCTTACCCCATATGTACGTGCTAAGGCGCCTTATACAAAGACCATAAAGGCGTAAAAACAAGCAGTGAATGGCCGTCGACGTGCGAGAGAATGAATGGTAGCTCGCGAGTCGCTAATTAAAAACATGTTTGTTCATCTTAACCGTCAGCGTCTTCCGTCCAAACACGAGAAAATCATATCCTCAGATTTATTAATCCAACACAGACACCACAAGACGGAGATTTCCACATTGTGAAAATAAAGGACATCAAATGGACGTCCATGAATTACAACTCTGCCTTACACAACAGCGAGGGTAAAGAAATGTTCACAGAACTCATTTTGTCTTGCACGCGCTTATGCAACATCATTAATATGGGTTTAGTGGGTGGCTAATGCATCCCCCACAGGAGTATTTAAGAATATCAATGAAAACGCTTTCATGTGTTTCATACTGCGGAGTGAGAACTCGTCACAAGGTAACATCAAGAGAAATCTTCTTCCAGGGACGTTGCGGCGTGTTTGCTGCCTTTCTAGCTCCTGCTGTTTTCACTAACCCACAGGTCAGGGACTGTTTTGCTCTTGTAGCTAAAGGGCTGCCCAGCCATTGTGAGTTCACAGAAGAGGTCAAAAGGACAAGATGGAGATCACTGGCCTCTCCTTGTGACTCAGAAGGAAACTTTTATAGAACAACCCACTGGACTGAGCTGACAACTGAGGCGTTTTTCCCCTTCCTGCCTTCCTTCTTCCTCTCTGTCCATGACTGTAGGGCTGCAGCTATTGATTATCTTAGCAATCGAGTGGAGTACCGATTCTTCCCTTAGAGTACTGCGAAAGAGAAAATTTGGCCGTGCATTTCCCTCGGCTTTCTCAATGAAAATTTCCTGTTGGGTCGTGTAGAAGGCTAACTCTAAAATATCCATCTTAACAAAACAGGTTGTTGGGTTCTCTGTTCAGCATTTGTAAGGTCTGTACCCGACTATGTTGAGCACTGTGAGATGACGTGTTGTGAATTTGCACTATATAAATACACTTGAATTGAATTGAATAACACATTTCCAGCATGCAAAACAACTCCCCTGCATTTGGAGGGAACACCGTCGCTGTACCCTGTTCTTATCTTACCCAAGACGACTGGGATTGGTTTAAGAAATATCAACATGCCAGAGTTTTTATTCCCTCAGTCAGTGCTAGTGAATGGTCTACCTATGCCAGACTGCATAACTCCAGATCTAAACTGAATCCAGTGCAGAATTCGTGCAAGATACCAGCTCTCTGTTTCCAAGTTGAGGCCGGTAGCTACAGTTTGTCTTGCTGTTGACAGAATCTGAAGACTCCTGTACTTGACTTTGCACTTTACTAGCCTTCGTTGTTACATTTAATGCTACTGTTCCTAGAATGGATGCATAGACTGCTGCTATTATTGTGTTCAGGTAAACAATAGACACACATCAACTCTGTTCAGTTTCATTTTTTCACCATAAACTTATCCATAACTTAGAATATGTTCAATGGTCACTCTTGTTCTCCATTTTTACAGTTTGCACCAAACACAGTGAAGCTATGCACAGTTGCTTTGATGCAAAAAACTTGCATTGGCGATTTTTAGTAATTACCTGAGTTTCTTTAAGTGCTGTGGTAGCCTGCTTATAATGTGGAACGTAGTCTAGACTGCTTTCCCTTACGTAGGTTGCCAACAACAAATGCAAACACCAATTGCGTAGCTACCCACTTAAGCATAAATAAACGCACCGCACGGACAGCTGAGGGCTAAGTCATGGTGCAGATTGGGTTTGAGAGGTTTCTATGGACTATTTTCCATCACAAAAAAACTGTTGTGTTTGGACCCTACGCGCTATAACGGCTCTGAGTTAAGGAGTGGGCACAACCAAGCCAAATGCTTTGCTTGCATTGCCAGCTAGTGGTGACTGCATGTCTGCTCCACAGGTTGTGTGCCGGATCACACCTGATAGCACCCAGCTGTGTTCACGGCTGGGGTGGGGATGGTCCAATAGACTTTCTAACCATAGTCGTCAGTGCAGCAACTTTTTAACAATGGTTTCCATCAAAGACCTAATATAACAGAAAAAAATAAATAAAGAAATGCAACACAGTCCTATTATTTAGCCGTGCAGCGTTGCCATGATGTTCCAGAGTGCCAAACGGCATTTAAAAGACAAATGGACGTTTCATAAGCGTTGCTGCAAAGCTCCATCTCACTGTCGCCACGGCACGGTTACATAAAGGGTGAATAGTCATGATGGACAAGAATCAGCTGTCAGCACTCTCGTGGGTTGTACAAAGTCAGATTAATAGCCAAAGCCAAGATTCTATACCTCCAAGTTGGTAATGAAATACTTTTTAAAACATTTTTTTCATTTACTTTCCACAATTTTGCAAAGTATTCACACGCGCAAGGGACTAAAAATGATTATCGACTCCATTAACAGCAACGCAGTGATCCTGGTGAGTTTGAGTTTGTGTGTGTGTGTGTGTGTGTGTGTGTGTTTTATAGGCAGAGCAGCGAGATGGTGACAGGTTAGCTGACAGCTCGAGATTTGGTAACAATACATATGTAATTGCTTTCACTGCTGCTCATGCTTTATCTTCGCGGACTCATTGCAGCTGTATTTTACGCTGCACTTTCTCTCCCATCCCTTATTCCCTAAACTCCTGGAAAGCATATTAGTCTGACACTTAATGTGTGTCGACGTCCAAAGCAGCTGGTTTTGACTGGCTGAAAAGGCAGTGTCAGGTCATTAGTGCAGTCGGTCCGCCAGCTCCCCTTCGACTGCCAAATGTACCGACAGCTTTCTGCACCATCTCGCCCCGCCACACTCGCACCGCCATGCCTTGTCAATAAAGGAATAGTACACGTTTCAAGCATTTCCTGGTCTTGCGTTTAGGAAAGAATGGGGGTTAATATATATTCCTGCTGCCCAGTCGTTTTGAAAATTAGCAACTTCAAGATAACTGGCGACATCTCCAGCTTCAACTCCGCTCGCCTCCATCCTTCCCCCCCAATTCCTCATCTTCCTCTGTCCTCGTCTCTCCGGCTCGGTGCTGTCACTCTGTCACTTACTCTCTCGCAGGTCATCACTCTCCCACATTCAGGTCTGCACTGTAAAATGTTTTCAGATTAGAAACAGCTGGGGTAAAGGGAGAAATCTCTTCCAGTTTCTCTATCCTCCCCTCCCCTCTTTGCCCAAGGGCTGAGGTGTTCTCAGACCTGGAAGTGATTCATTCTTCAAATATCCCTGAGACACTTTTTCTTCGCAGCCCAATTCTTTCTTTCACTCACATGCACTTTTTTTTTTTATTTGGCCTAGAGCTGTGAAGAGTTTTGTCAGAAAAGAAAAAAAAGAGAGAAAGAAAGAAAAAAAAAAAAGTTCAGTCTCATTCAGCCAATGTCAGCCATTTTGAAAAGTGATCACCAGATCATTTGTTAAAGCCAATGACTCCCATACGTGTCTTTATTCCATTTGCAGCACAGTTCCACAGCAGCATGGCACATTAACCAGACTTGGCCCCCGGGGACTAACTTTACTCCCTCTTGAGTTTCCCTTCTCCAACCCTTTCCCTGATCCTCAGAGCAAAGGGAAAAAAAACAAATGCTTCATCAGAAGGAGGAGGAGGAGGCACAAAAGCATGGCTCACACCTCGTAGGCATGTCAGCTTAATGAATTGAATAACCTATTTACTTTGGAGTGCCAAGTGCAAGGACTTGTCTTGTCAATGCCGAGCTTCGAGGGAGGCGGGAGGAGAGTTAACGAACAAGATTTAACAGCACCCTGTCACCTCACTGTAAATAAATTGTCATCAGAAAACGTCTTCGGTGCTGAGCCACGCGCTATTAAAACATGTAATGTGCAGGGGTGAGCTTTTTCTAATTCGTCAGCAGTCTGCGGACGGCGGCCTGCGTTTATACAGCATGTCTCAAGCTGGCCTGCAAGGAGAGGTCAAAGTGAAACAGTAAAACATTTTCCCTCTTTGCCAGAATGCTTTCTTTTTTTTTTCACTTGCACATTTTACACACTAATGTAAAATGTGCCGGTGTGAATCTTAATGAAGAGGACCTGCCTTTCAGCGCCTCCTCTAAAGCTCTTATGCCATTTAGGTGCACCGTGCTCATCTAATGGCATTAATTGTAGTCAGCTGCACTTCTCAGAAGTTGCCCGGCACATTAACAAAGCTGTCAAACACATTTCCTCGAAACCCCGCAACCGCGCATCGGCGTTCCGTGTTTGCATTTGCTGTAGTGGCACTTTTCAGAACTATGAGATAAAGGTTAAACGTTGCTGTTGCATAAGTGATTAGTCCTGATCAGTTGGAGTGCACAGGTGGGGTCCAGGGGGGGAGGGAAAGACTAGATTGCAAAGCCAGAACTGAGCCCGCTTAAGGCTGCGAGTGCCAAGCCCTCTTCTCCACACACTGCCACTTCAGATTTAATTACACTCCAAGCCAAACGCTCCATCCTACAGTGGCAAACTTGGCAGAGAGAGTTTACCTTTTTGGCCTCATTTCTGGGAAAGAAACTTCTTCAAGCTTCTGTGCATGTTTACAAAATACATCTCCTTCCAGTGGACTGTTCCTCGTTCACATGACTGGAGATTAAACAAACATATCATTCATAGTTTCTCCATCAAAATCGCCTAATGTTCCTTTCCTCCTTGTCTCGTTTGTGTTACTACAGTGCTGGGGTGGGACGCACAGGTTGCTTCATCGTGATTGATGCCATGCTGGAACGGATCAAGCACGAGAAGACTGTGGACATCTACGGGCACGTAACGCTAATGCGTGCCCAGCGCAACTACATGGTGCAGACAGAGGACCAGTATGTCTTCATACATGACGCGCTCCAGGAGGCCGTCAACTGCGGCACCACCGAAGTGCCCGCCAGAAACCTATACGCCTACATCCAGAAACTGACCCAGATAGAGGGTGGAGAGAATGTCACTGGCATGGAACTTGAGTTCAAGGTAAAGACATTAACTGTGAATAGCGTGCTTGAATTTAAAACTGAAAAAGCTGGCTCAAGTCTTAAGATTCCTGAATACTGTAAAAGACGCAGCTGTGCACCAGCGACTTTCCATATGTAGCATTCACCGATGGCTGTCTGTGTCCCATGTCATCGATTGGCCATTCCCAGTACAACTCCCAAACCCATGTCCAGTTCGCATTAGGCCTGCTAGACAGCATGGGGCCTGTGGTTTCCTCTCCATTCCAGTCACTTGACTCGCTTGTGTAACCCAACATGCGATAAATTCCCCCTTTCTGGTTTCCTCTTCCACAGTTCCCCTTCCTTGAGTAACAGGGGTTTTGGTTTACATGAAAAAACCCAAACACAGGTTTTCCCCCCGCCACAGACGAGTTGCCAGAAAGGCTTGCGCAATACACTCTGCATTTACAGCGAGCCGACCTCATCCAGGCCTCTCTGCAGTCAGTGGCGCTGCTCTTATGCATGCTATTGCCTTACTTGTCACGCACCCACTTTCTTGTTGTGCCGTGGATTCCACAAACAGATGATAAACAGGTTAGATTACACTGCATTCTGTCCACTCAAGGACCACTTGTGTATCCATTTTTCTTTCCGCAAAGCATTTTTTTTTTCCAAGAAAGGAGTAATTTGCGATAATAATCATTTTGATACCGCTTCCATACCTTACAATTATATGAACCAGCTATGTGCGGCCTCCTATGCTTTGTATTTTTCCCCACTCTCGAGGAACGCAATCATTCACAGAGCTCTGCTCTTTATCATGTGTTTTTTTGTCGAACGCAGTCAGTTACCAGGGGAATAAAGAACAACTTGAATGTCAGTGCTTCTACCTGGAAACGGCATGCTCAAGGATGTACATTTTTCTTGTCTTCCCATGCAGCGTTTAGCTAACACTAAAGCCCATACGTCACGATTCATCAGTGCCAATCTCCCCTGCAACAAGTTCAAGAACCGCCTTGTTAACATAATGCCATACGAGTCCACACGAGTGTGTCTTCAGCCCATCCGAGGAGTTGAGGGCTCTGACTACATCAATGCCAGTTTCATTGATGGGTATAGGTAAGTGCGAAAACACCACCATAACCATGGCTCTGCAAAGTAGAACACCTGCAACTAGTTTATACACGAGACATTGCTGTCACGTTTTCTGTTAAGTTCTGCTGATTGTACCACACCTTCATTATTTCCCACAGGCAACAGAAAGCCTACATTGCAACACAGGGACCATTGGCAGAGACCACGGAGGACTTCTGGAGAATGCTCTGGGAGCACAACTCAACTATTGTCGTTATGCTCACCAAGCTTAGGGAAATGGGCAGGGTACGTATGCACTTCTTATCATTTAGTTGTGACGGCCTCAGAAATGCAAGAACAGCACCACAACGTGTCTGGAAGCAGATAGAAAAACTCGCCCGTCAGGTTAACTTTGGCCCGTTTGCAAACACTTGCCTTTCTGTTGATCAATGAGCACTGTCCCTGTCAAATAAATGAGTAAGTGAAATGAAAATGAGATGCAGCACAAACTGAAAGACAACATTTCTGGGAACGAACACAATGAAGCCAGTCTATGAAGAGATTGCTGTGGCTCACTGTGGTATTCTATTTTTTCACTCCCGACAGGAAAAATGCCACCAGTACTGGCCAGCAGAGAGGTCGGCCAGATACCAGTACTTTGTGGTGGACCCCATGGCCGAGTATAACATGCCCCAGTATATCCTGAGAGAGTTCAAAGTGACTGATGCCAGGGTAAGCAGACGCTGTTTCATTCAACAAAGTTGAAAGATCAAAACTCGGCACTGTGGGAATAGAGCTCTAAAATCAGGGCTGCTGTTTACAGTTTAGTCTAGTGCTATTGTTTTTGCTCCTAGTCTGGGTTGTGACCTACCCATGGGTCTTGGAGGACACCATCACCAAAGAGTCACCAATAACAAACAATTGCAAGGGCATACAGAAGCTTGGGCACCTCGAATCAAAGATAAAACATTCTTTTCAACATTTTAGGTGCAATTAGTTCATCACTTTAGATTTTGTACAATTAAAGCTGGAAAAAAAAGGTTTGAAATTGAGCTCTATCAAGGTCTCAAGTCCTGATTAACTTGTTAGAGGTATGACTTTTTAATTATCATTAGCAAAGTCCAGGTGATGCACAAGTCAAGTCTTTATAAATCCCATCAATCAGCAGACGTGTTAATCTAAGCAGCTGCCTAGTGCCCTAAAATTTAAAACGGCTGATCTTTCCAAAGCAGAGGAAGGCTATAAGAAGACAGCAAAGGTAGCCACTTCCTCAGTCGGTAATGCAATCAAGAAATAGCAGGTAACGGCGACAGTGGAGGTCAAGTTGACGTCTGGAAAACATTCCGAGGGCACGGCAAGAAGACAAATCAAAACCACTGCTCGACTGCAAAAAAAAAAAAAAAACACCTTCGGGAAGATTCAATAGACTCTGGAGTGGTGGTGCAGTGCACAAATATGACCTTCACGGGGGGAAGTCATCAGAAGAAAACATTTCCTGCATCCTCAACACAAAATGCAGCATCAGTGGTTGACAAAATTAACATTTAAACAAGACTGGTGCAGTTTGGAAACAAGTTCTGCGGCTTGTTGACATTAAAATAGAACTTTTTTGGCTGCCAAGAGCAAAAAATATGTCTGGAGAAAAAAAAAAAGAAAGGTGCAGAATTTCATGAAAAGAACACCTCTCCAGCTGTTAAGCGCGGAGTTGGATCGATCACACTTTGGGCTTGAGACGCAGCCAGTGGCAAAGGGAGCATTTCACTGTAGAGGCGAGAATGGATTCAATTGAACACCAGCGAAAATCTGGAAGCAAACATCACACTGTCTGTAAAAAAAAATACTGAAGATGAAAAGACGAAGGCTTCTGTGGCAGGATAATGATCATAAACACACCTGAAAATCCACAGTGGGGTAGCTCAAGAGGCGCAAGCCAAAGGTTTCGCGATGGACTTCACAGTCTCCGTACCCAATTATCATCAAAAATGTGTGGACGGGCCTCAAAAGAGGCCGAGACCGGCTGCAGAATCTCACAGAAGTAGAAGCCCTTTGCAGAAACAAATGGATAAAAATCCCCAAAACAAGAATTGAAAGATTGTAAACAGCTACAAGAAAAGCATTTACAAGCTGGAATACTTGCGAAAGGAGCAAACACCGACCATGCAGGGTGTCTGAAGTTATGCCTTTTAGTTTTTTGTTGTTTTGGAAACTTTCTTAAAATGCTAAAGAAGTGTCATCTTTAACTTTCTGCCTCTTGGAAATCCCAAACTTTTGACTGTAAGTCACACTGCACTTTGACTTTGGGTTACTGATGCAAGCCATTTATAAAAACATAAATAACAGAGTAAACAAGCACACTACGCAATTTTGCAATCATGTGATTTCATTTGCAAAGAAAGGAGATCTGGAAAAACATGCTGGGTGGATGTTTTTATTCAGCCTCTGCGGTAGTCATTAGCTCAACATTTTGGCGTCGTATCAAACATTTGTTTATACCAAACTATGGCCTTAAGTGTAACATGAGCATAAATATAAAAATTTGTGGAAATTATGACACATGTCAGTGTGTTAAAAAAAATAAAAAAACAAATGTGGCGCCGGCAGCACCGAGCTGCCAGAGTTTTTAATTCCATCAAAGGCTTACGCAGATAAATGGCGCGGGCTCCCTTCTTTGTAGAGCGTGTTACACTGTCTCATCAATGGGATTGCTTTCCTTATCAAGGGGATACAACATCACTTAAGCAATGCACACCCTGAAAGTCGATTCTCCGAGCACCCTGTCAAGGGGAGCACATCAAAGGAATTAGCATCCTCAGTGTCCATGTTAAATACATTCAGGTAAAAATGACAGGCATCTTTAATAACAAAACATTTCCTCTGATGCTTTAAACTTGGCATCTGTCTTGACTTTTTTCCTCAAGAAGAAAGTCTTGAGACGCAAAACCAAACATGGATCACTATGATGGAGATGGCCACGAAATGAACTGCCATGAGTTGGCTGTGTGCAGAATATCCCAGACTTGACTCCTAGCTTCACTTCGGATGTTTTTTTTCCAGATTTCTGACTTCTGTTTGTGCTCTCTCTCTCTTCCCGTCCCCGTTTTGTCAGGACGGACAGTCGCGGACGGTAAGGCAGTTTCAGTTCACGGACTGGCCTGAACAAGGAGTGCCAAAGTCAGGAGAGGGCTTCATCGATTTCATCGGCCAAGTACATAAAACAAAAGAGCAGTTCGGCCAAGATGGTCCTATCTCGGTCCACTGTAGGTAAGTGACCAACCACCGAACCAAGTCAGTTGCGTTTTGAATGACGTGAGACTAAATGTAAATGTCTCTTTTGCAACCACACACTCAAACATCGCATTAGCATACCGGCATACAGTTTAGAGCAGGGGTGTCGAACTCCGGTCCTCGAGGGCCGCAATCCTGCAAGTTTTAGATGTGTCCCTCTTCCAACACACCTGATTCAAATGATCAGCTCATCATCAAGCTCTGCAGAAGCCTGATAACGATCCTGATCCTTGTGAAGGAAACATCTAAAACTTGCAGGATTGCGGCCCTCGAGGACCGGAGTTCAAGACCCCTGGTTTAGAGTCAAACTACCTACAGAGGCATCCGGTGTCTCCGTCCACAACACTGACCTCCTTGCCCTTTTGATCTCCCCCCTGCACAGCGCTGGTGTTGGTAGAACCGGAGTTTTCATCACCCTCAGCATCGTGTTGGAACGAATGAGATACGAGGGCGTAGTAGACATCTTTCAGACAGTGAAAATGTTACGGACACAAAGACCAGCTATGGTGCAGACAGAGGTGAGGTCTCTCTTTTGTTTTTATTCTCCTTTCTCACCATACAAAGAAAAAAAAAAAACAACCCAAACACTGTACGGGAAGTGTTTGTGAGCCTGAATCAGCCGCTAATTTGACAGTTTACTCCACTTGCCTGAAAGGTCTGGTTGGATTCCAAGTCTCCTCTTGAGCCAAACAGATTAACTAAAGCAAGCCTCTGTTAAAGACTATGATTAATTTAGTGGCTCGACCATTCTAGATATGTCTGCTCATCCTGTTTCAGAACAACTGGGCAGCGTTTTGGAGCTTGGGTGTACTTACTCTAGTATTTATGCTAAAAAGAAATGGTACAGAAGATTCAGTTTAACCATCTCCAGGAGGCTCTTGGCACTAACGTCTCCTCTTCTTTGTTTGCAGGATCAATACCAGTTCTGCTACAGAGCTGGCTTGGAGTACTTGGGAAGCTTTGATCACTATGCAACGTAAAAGACCCAGTATTGGAAGATAAAAGCAGAGGGCCCTTTGGAAAAAGAAATCCCAGTGAGCCTCTCTTCTGAGCCATAAATTCCTGCTTGAGAAAGTACTCCTTAACTCCTTGCTAACAACTCATTAAGTGTTGGATGTGCGACATGACTTGTCAAAAAATGAAAAAGATGATTCCCGGAGGACCAAGTATTTCCCCAAAAACCCCCCCAATAAAAAACCTTGCCTTTGACACAAAGTGAGGGAATCCTGACTGTTGAAGCATCGTACGGAATTACCTTTTCTTTTGCTTCAAGGATTCATTTTTTGGGGGCTCATAAAACTGAATGAAACCAACACAACAAAAAAGTAAATGAACAATAATGACATCGTCAGAAATGCATCAGTGATTATGAACCATTACGAGAGGCATCGGAGGCACACAGGATTGCGGGGAGGCGGGGGGGAGAGAGAGAAAAACTCGATGCACATTGTAAAGAAAAAAAAAATGAAAAAAATCTGTTTCACAATCAAGTACACACAGAACAACCCATCGCAAAAGAAGACAATGCTTGGTCCACAAGAGCAGGACAGACTTAAAGTAATAATGAATAAATACCCCCCCTCCTCCTCCTTTTCCTGTCACAATGTTCATCATCTAAATTCTTGGGGAGGGGGGGGGCAAGAGGGTAAAGTTAAAAATGATCTATGAAATAAATAAAAATTATTGATTTAGTTTTTTAGTACTTTATTATACAGCTGATGTGCTTTTTTTGAACTGTGTGAATTTCCTTTTTTTACACAAAAATTTATCGCTTGGGGAAAAAAAAAGTGATAAAAAACGTCAATGTTTTAATTTTTTTTTTAAAGCTGTAGAACTGTTCTAACGTATGTGCTATTTTGCAGAGAATCTCTTTGCTTTTTTTTTTAATTTTATTCTATTTTTTTTAAATTTTATTTTATTTTGTTCCCCCTCATTTTGTTGCACTTGGTGCACAGGACGGAATTCACACTACCAAAATCTAACTTTGTACCAGAGTTATTTTTTGGTCTTGACTTTTCTGTTGTCGTTTTACGTTTCTGTCCATGATCACATACATGGTGACTTAATTACTCCCATAAGACAAACTGGGGCTTTGTGGAATCAACAGGGATGAGCAAAGTATGAAGTTGCTGCTACCAATTATCTTAGTTCTTCCATGTTATAATGATGCTGAGAGAACCTGATGAATTGGATAATGAATATATATATACACGGTGCAGATAGACACATATGTGACACATATATGAAAGTATAAATATAGCGTTCTAAATATATTGATACATAATTTATGAGTACAACAAATATATGAGATACGTGTGTGAAAGCTGTCGGACTGAGAGTTGTGTGCTACGGGGGGAAATGAAGAGATTTTTCACTGGAATGCACATCAGTAGGACAAAACTGTATTCTGATTCAGTGCATCTTTTCTTGTGCAATAAATATGTGTGTTTTAGATAGGGTTTAATGTGGATATGTTATTCACTCATGACATTGTACGTTTCCCCTCCCCCTCCCACCCCACGAGCGAGGCGTGGGAAAGTCAGGCGCCAGTCGAAGCATCGCTGGCGCAATTTTTTTATTTCAATTTTTTATTTTATTTTTTTCAAGCTCTCATAGTTTGTAATTGGAGGCAGACGGGGAGGTCACACAGCAGCCGCACTCACCGTTCCACACAATAGGGCAAGGTACAAAGACGTCACTTTCTTGTGGTTCTTTAAAAAAAAAAAAGCATTTAACGGTAAAGACGATTTTTTTTTTTGTTTTGTTTTCATTTTGCATTTAGAGTGCCTTATATTTATGCCTGTTTTTATAATGTTTCATTTAACATGTTAATGTATCCTTTTGAGTAATCTAGGCATTTAGTGTAAATGTAAATGTATAGTTTATTTACCTTTAGTATTCATTTGTCACACGATGAGATTATATATGCAAATAAGAACATTTCAAAGGTCATATTTTTCATTTTCAGTGGCCTTATTGTGGCTGAGTGAATTAGAATAAAACAGTTTATATATCTATAAATATATATATATATATATCGCTGACCTCTACAGAAAACACAGGACAAATAGCTACAATATATTTAAAAATTTTTAGAAAATCAGGGAAGAGAAAGCAGAATACTGGTCTCAGAACTAAACGGGATGAAGCAGCGGCGCGCGCCCAGAGGCCCCGACGTAAAGTTAGCTTTTTACCAATTGTAACTACGATCGCATTCGACCACACGGAATATCTAGATTTTTAAAAAAACATTGGATGCCTAAAGCGCAGGTCGTCACCGAAGGGTTTTCTTCTTCACGCCTTAGGTTTTGACTCGTCACCGCAGAGAGCAGGCGAAAAATATCACTTCTGTTATCCTGACAATCCTAATCGGTGTGTCGTGTCATTTTTTGTTTTTATTTTTTTAATTTTTTTTGGGTGGCATAACAGTTAGAGACGGGGGTGTTCAGTTCAGTCTTTCTGTCCAGCAGCAGCATCTTTAACTCCTCCGTACCCTCTCTGATGGCTTTGTGGATGTGCATTCCAGGTGCTTTCTTTCCCTTGCTAAATCAAGCAGCTATGTGTGTTTTTTTGTTTCTGCTTAACTGATTACTTTTGTCATAATTTCGAGATATAAAAGTGCTATTATTTAACCTCATGGTGGCTAATGTTACATTATGTTCACGTGTCAGAACATGTTTATTTTCTCATCCGAGTTTTTTTTTTTCTCCTCTTTTTTTTAAATTGATTTTTCATATGCATGGTGAAACATTGCAGAACGGCCAAAGCTGGCCCGGTAGGAAGACTTGCACTTTCTCTATCTTTGTACTATGCACTGCCCTATTGATTCTAAACCCAATAATATATTACTTGAACCCATCTATGAGAAAAAAAAAAAAATCTCCTTAAACGTTCACTTTGTGTGTATGTAAATAACACAAAAAAAAAAGGTATCGACTCTTGAAAAAGACAAAAAAAAAAAACAAAAAAAAAAAGTTTGTGGCGAAAAAGAGCATCCGTTCTGATGCCATGGTTACTCCAGCAGATGACTTCAGAAAAATCTGTCCCCCAACCATCTGTTCTTGTGGCTTTGCCATTCAAGCTTGGAGTGTCATTAACAGAAATAAACGTTGTGTTCTCTGCTCTCTCTATCTATCTCTCGTCTGGATGCATAGACTGAAAAATTAAATACTGAAATTGTAAAAAAGAAAAAAAAAAAAAAATGGCTTGTTAAAAAGATCATACAATTACCTCTGATTAGTTGTAAGCGTAAACTGTTTCTTTCTCTGGATGAAAGGAGTGCTTTTTATTTTCTTACTTAGGTTACAATGGTGGCGAAAGAAGTCTGTATGAAAATCAGTTCTTTGCTGACACAAGTTCCATTTGTTATAAATGAATTCTATTAAAAAATGTCAGTGTTATGCATCGGCGTTTCACTTGTTTCCCTCCACCTCACTCCGACTCGAGAAGACTGATGAAGCTATTTTACCCCCTACTGGTCTGGGTCCAACATATTATCCACAGTTCCCTCATGAAAGGGGAAATTGAGCCTCACTACATTTGAATAGATTTCCATCGCTCTGGTTTTTCTGTCACTGATGTCAGCCGCAGTGAATCATCGGGGGAACCTCTGACAAATGAAGTGCGATGTTTTTTCGAAGGCTGCTTTGTTTTTTAGCACATGCTTTTGTTCACGCCGGTGACGGAGCGGCGCGGCGCTGGAGTGAAAACCCACATTTACGTATGACTTAATGCGGGATCTGTGGATACTTTTAATACGTCTTCCCGCATTTCATCATTGTCTTTTAACTAAACAGCGAAAGAACAAAACCAGTGATCTCCTGCATAAATCACATCCACAGTGTTTAACATTGTGATTCAAAGTGTGGATCAGACATGCACAGCAGAGGAGATTTACTTCCAATTAGGCATGTGTTTGGATGGATCTGGTGGAGGATGCACAACCTGATGTGCACACAGAGGCCTAATAAATGCACACAAATAAGCAGAAGGGCACTCCGAGAGCGCATCCTCCGCCAAGGCCAATGCCCCATCTCGCATTTTTTTATTATTATTAAAGCGATCTGGATCCGCTCCAGAACTTAATGGCTCCTTCCTTTGGCCACGTTCCACCTCTCTACACCAAGTTTCATCAAATTCAGTCAGGTAGTTTTCTTTTTTTTTTGTTGCACAAAACTGCTGACAGACTTTGAAAAATCCCTGGATCTTCGCCTTGATCTGGATCCGCACCAGAATTCAAAGGGTTCTTCTCCCGCCTGCCCGCCGCTCCTCCTCGCAGAGTTTCATGATTGCATAATTCTGGTGACAGTCGGACAAACGGCGCCGAAATCGACGGAGGAATGCATTGCAAGCGGCCATACGAAGCGCATGTATGTCCACATAAATCTGCATATTTAACGCCACTACAAACAGTAACAGTTCATTGTACCCTTCTACTATATTCACCCTAGTTGTTATTTTAAAGGTTTGTCCAAGTAGAATAACTTACTACATTACAAGCAGCAGCAGAACATCTCGGTATACTTTTCCTCCACAAATCACAGAAAAAAAAAAAAGTAGAACAAAGTGCCAATAACCGCAGGCAAAAGAACAACAACAACAACAACAAAAGAAAGATTTTTTTTTAAACAGTATTAAACTACTTGACAGCTGGGGAACGCAGTCAATAACTGCTCGCCTGGAGAAGTTACTCAGGATTCAGAAGGCTGTCCATGCACTCAATTAGAAAACATCATTCCACATGATAACAAATGACAGACGCCGTCAGGTATGGCAGCGCGCTTGAAAGCCATTATTCCCGAGTTTATCATGGAAAGTTTTGATGTATAACAAGCTTTGCAAAAAAAAAATCTCCGTCCGCGTATCAGACCGCTGCAGTCGTCGGGAGCGTAATAAATAACAACAAGTACACGTCTTAGATTGAAAATGTTGTCGGAGAGATTATGTGTCAGAAACAATGATGTACTGCGAGAGGTTGCGGTGGGGATGTGCTGCTGGGATTTCTCCTGGAACTGGCGTGTTGTTTGTGCACTTTTATGCAACTCCAGTGTGGAAGATAACGCTGTGATGATGTGCTATATGTTGTGCGCTCATGTTTGATGTTTCTTGCTGCGTTGTGAAGCATCCATTTCCATCCATTCCAGCCCCCGCATGCTCTCTCCACCAAGACGCCGCCGAGACTCCAGACACCAAAATGGAAGCTCCAACAGACAGACCGCTCTCAGCGCCAGACTATCGCGTTACCGGAATTGCACACGACAAGTTGGAAAACGTTCGCAGATTACGGCGCGGCAAGAGCAATTATCGCTTCACCTTGTTTTCTGACGATTTGACGGAAATTGGCAACTCGTGGATTTTGTGGAGGAACCGTCCCGGCGCAGATGTCTGCTGCTTAGCGCCAGACGAGAAACGCAACAAAATAAGGAACTTCTACTGTCATCAGATTTTTTTTATTTTTCACCGGAGACTGCACTTCAGATGTGTCGAGCAGATGTTCCGTCTTCGTCTCTCAGCAGTTTTTTGCAGAATTATGAAACCAACCAGCCAGTCACAACACCGAGCACAAGTCATTTCT